TAGCAGACAATAAATAATTGCAACTAATACATTTCTTTCAATCTGCTTCTCATATGAGAAACAATCCTTCAATCAATGATCAAGTTATTACTCTTTGTAGCAAGCAACTCTGAATTACAGGTCATAAGACCTCCTGTGAATGAATGAACTCATGGGGCCAGACTAATCTCCCTGAGGGAGACACAGTGTGGTGCACACACAAGCTGCAAGGTCAATGAAACATAACCACATTACGATAGAAACCAACAAAATTAAAGAAAGCAGACAGGATAGTTTTGTTTTAATTGCATTAAAGTAACAACAGACAGTTTTTCAACATTAGGCAAGAGCTTTAACGCTCATCTCAGTGACTGCTGAGTTAGAAACTTGACCAGTTTCATATTCAACACCGCTCCACAGCCCTCAACTGAGCAATCCACATAGTTTTGTGGAGAGGGTAGGTGTTCTAGGGGACATTCTTTACCTGCTATACAGTTATAAGCTATAATGGTAGTGGTTAGCATTTTCAGTTTGTTGATCATCAAAAAAAAGTATAGGGAGAAGAAAAAGAATAAGTTTGCTTTTTCTGTTGGCATCATGGCAGTGCCTGGAAATAAAATTAAGAAAGTAATGTCTTTGGAGGCAAAGCAAATAGCTAAAACCTCAGCACGCTGTACACTAGTTTGAAGGAGCTAAAGGAGGCTACAAAACCAACAGAATGATTGTGACCTGGCTTTGTTGCTGCTGGACTTGTAAGTAATAATGTTTTGTCCAACAGTATGGATCTTTTTACTTCGTGGTTAATTTCAGTATTAATTGCCTTATGTTAGTGTTAGCTCACTGTTAGCGCTAGCTGCAGCATGGTTTGTTTGAGGGAGTTGTAATTCCACTTTCAACCAGTAGGGTGGAGGAGCAGAAAACTACTCTTACTTTAAAGGAGACCTAGAATCTAAATGTAGCTAGATGAACCATATGCTCCAATTTTGATTGAACTAGAACAGTACAGCCTCCATATGTAAGAGGGCGCTGCGACCATGAAAGGGATCTCCTCCCATGTAGGAAGTAGATCCAGGAAGCGGCAAGTCTCAGAACCGCGATGTCTTGGCATTGCCAGCCCGTGTCCTCAGGCTGAGTTTTACTGCGCAATCGGCTCTGCTCCAATGGTGGTAGGTACCTTGACAGCTACTAGGCTTAGTACTAAGAATACTGTTTCACAGGCTGTGTTGTGCACTCTACAGCTTGGACATTAGTTGTCAGCAAGGCCGGATTAACCATATGGGCAACTGGGCAAATGCCCAGGGGCCCACAAACTCTAAAGGGCCCAGGGCAGCAAGGGCACGAGCAAAATACTGTATCTGTAATCTGCCGCTTTATATTAAATTAGTGTCCTGTTTTCCCCGGACATGTCCACTTTTCACTCTGTCCGGGGGGGGTCTTGTATTAATGAAAATGTCCGGCTTTTCATCCAGGAGCAGGGATCGAATTATGGGGGAGCTGGACATCCTACACATCCAGGGGAGCTGAAACGTTTTCTACCTATATTACACCATTTATGGACTCTTTTGAGCAGAGAGAGCGGCAGAGCGATGATCGTTGTTGCGCAGCGCTCCAGGCTGCTGCTTCCAGCGCACGGTCCATTCTCAAAGTGGAGCAACCAAAAAACTATAATTAGCACACGATCGTTCATGTCCGCACATGTCCTCTATTTTCTGTCTTATTTGTGCCTGAAGCGCTCTGCCACTGCGGAGCTCATCACCTGTGCTGCGGTGACTCCACCTCACTGACGCAGCATCGAAACGTGCTCTCCGCTTTGCGGTCAGGAGATCCCTTTGATCTGCTCAAAAGTAACTGATGAGGTGAAAGAGTAAGAATCCAGGCAGCAGGTTTTCCGGAGAGTTTAGAGGAGATGCAGGAAAATGAAAGACAGACAGGACAGGAAAACAGTTTAATAAAAACAAGAAAACAAATTAAAATGTAGGTAGATTTATCTCCACTACACGTTTTTACCTGTAAAAAACAATAAGTTGTACACATGTAATATTTATACATCTGATACAATTCAGATCACCTTCAAAACTCAGTCTCACACCCAGGGCCGTTTCAAGACATTTTGGGGGCTAAGGCAAAAAGACCCCCCCTCCAATAACTGGGCTCCCCAGAAGCCTCTGTGTAATTCATGCCCTCTCCAGTATTGTTAGTTATACAGTGTTTGTAAAAGCACCTCAGACATTACTGACATGTTCTAATATTATCAGATGAAAAACTAACTTATCAGACACGCTGTCTCATCTGCTTCTTTTCTAAACTTGCTAAAAGTAACAAAACCATTTGAAAGCCACTATTTGTGGATTCTCAGAAAGTTTCCATGGAGTGTGTGACAACTTATTTTTTCATTGATCCTATCGTCTAATCTCACAGCTGAAACAAGCATCCTTAATAATCTGTGCACAGGAAGCTTACCGATGCTGTAGTAAAACAAAAGTTATAATAATTTATTATTAATAAAATCTTGTTGCAGCACTAAAGCAGAAAAATGAGATTTTGCAACAAATAGGCAAAATATTTACAAATGAATTGTTTTAGAGCCCTTTTATTGGCAGAATCTGATATTAATTTAGTTCTTACAACAAAATGGGTCCCAACGTGGTTTGTGTGGCGTTGCCATAGTGTGACATCATATGCACAGATACCCTGTCCTCTTGTTTGGAAATGGAAATATGATCACCCTGTATTAAACAAACTGTCGACCCGGGCTTTTGCGCTGCACAGAGACGCTTCGCTGCCTATGACTTTGAACGTCAGTTGAGAGCGGTTGAGAGTCAGTCTCATGCAGACTAACCAAGGAAGAGAAGGCCTCAAGTTAAGACCCTCTCCTCATTGGTCAGTCCACACGAGGTGGGTCAAAGGTTACCCTGAGTGGGTTACGTGACGTCAGGGATTCAAGTATTGAGTATATTTACTTCATATTACAGTAAATATTCTGTATGTGACCATATTATGGTGATCCTTGGGTCGTGATGATGGGGCCCTTTAATATTGTTGCACAGGGTACAACAAAGTGTTAATCTGGCCCTGGTTGTCGGTGTTGGGTGTGACATCATTTCTCACCTCGGAGTAGAGGAAGCGTGGGGAAAGCGGTATGTACCTTCTGCAAGCGGGAATGATATGTGGGTCAAACTTTCTAATGCCAGCTCTGTGTGAAAGCAGGGATAGATTGAATTGAAAAAAAAAAAGTTGTTCCAAGGAAGTCCCCTGGTGCATGGCTGGAGCCTTAGCCTGGCAAGCCAGACTAAATAAATGTATTATTTAGTCTGGCAACGCTCCATTGACGGCTCTCGGTTGTGGGGCAGGTTCTACCGTTGTCTTTCAAATGATCTCCGTATGCTACCGGACAATGAATGTGACATACTCACCGCAACAGCTATCGGTAAATGAGGCGGTCCGCAGTTGAAGAAGGAGAAAACACATCATTTTTTCTAAAAAAAAAAGTACTTAAATACATCTATCTGCTCCAGATTCTAATGGAGCCCAAGTTCTAATAGTCCAAAATTGATGTAAAAGCCGTTTCAAACGAGCTGTCGCCATCTTGTTTCACACTGTTGCATCATCCCACCCACCAGGCATATAGAGTGCCCTGATTGGCCCACAAAGCAGATAAAGCTCTGTGATTTGTTCACTAAGCAGATAGAGCACTATGATTGGTCCACCATTATGGACCAATCACAGCTCTTTGTGTTTGAAACCCCTCTAGGGAGCTGTGATTGGCCAGCCAGAATGTTGTTAGGGGCTGCAGAGGTTCCAGTGGAGCATTCCTAGACCAAACTTTGCAAAGCAAAAATTCGGTCTAGTTCACTAGGCTACTGGAGCCCAGGAGGAGAACAACTACATTTTTACTTTATCATTTGTTAGTTTTCTTTGTGTAGGGTGAGGCAGGAGTGTGGTCTCGGAGGTGGCGGTCCCGTTTGCGAGTGTGTTGGTGCTGTGTCTTCCCACGTTGGTGTGAATGTGCACTTACCTCAGGTGAAGTCAGTATATTTGTGTTATTTTTGTTGTGCTGGGGTTTCGCTGCCTCTGTGAGTCCCCTGTGTCCCTCACTAGCCTCAGTCTGCTAATTTCTCTATTGTTTAACATTTTTGCATTATTTACCCTGGGACTGAGTGGGAATTAATTTAATTTGAAAGTTGAATTGATTTGTTTTCTTATCAGTCATGCTGATTTAACAAGTTTTATCTTCTAATTCTAGTGTTTGCTAATATAGCACCGAGTGATTTTATTAACTGACATTTTACTGTTTAAATAATAAATGGATTGTGATTTCTGAAACCACGTCTGCTGTTTCACTTAAGTGGAAACGGATCTAAGTGCCTTGCTATTTAACTATTTCCTTGGGCAAAATTCCCAAGGTGGCGTTGTTGGTAATAATTGTATTTGAGTAGATACAATTGCCATATTTGGCATCAGCAGGTTATAAGACCGCTCGTGTATCGCCACATAAACCCACATTATCTTTGTTGTTGAATAAAGACAGCTTGGGTGGTCAAAAGTAGCATGCCAAAGGTCAAAGACATGTGTGACCTACTTTTATATAAATTAGAAAGTTGAAAAAGGCGAGAGAAAAACACGTTTTCTGAGCAAGTTTCCTAGTCGTGTCACAAGATCACCACTCCGCCTACAGCTACATGTTCCAACCCACTTCAGCATCACCAATATTTAAACACTGGTCTCAGCAAAACTGTTTAATAATTGCCCTTAATAGAGCTCCGGACGTCATGTGACTCTCAGAGAGTAGACGCCATGTTGGCAGGCAACAAAGGTAAACAAAATGAACGGGATCGGCTTGGATTTTACTTCGGAGTTTACTTCACACTTTAAAACCGAAGAAATCGTTTTATATAGTCAAAAATTAAATAGACTAAACATCTACGGCCCTTACCGTGCCCCTGGGATACTTCTTAAAAATGCCAGAAGCTGTCGGAGCGGACCTCTTACCGGACCTGGCCGGGGAACGCCTTGGTATTCCCACGGAGGAGCTGGCCCAAGTGGCTGGGGAGAGGGAAGTCTGGGCCTCTCGACGCTACTGCCCCCACAACCCGACTCCGGATAAGCGGATGAAAATGGATGGATGGATGGACAAATAACAGATTTACATGTAAGTAGTTTAAATAGAGTGATGTGCTGTTTGAATGTATAAACTGAACGCCAAGAGAAATCACTAGTCTGATTTTTTTCCGTGAATAAAATAAATATGTCAGGCAGGAGCGTGTCAGGATCTGTCTGAGATCTGTCTCGGTGAGACAGATCAAATCAAATCAAAATCAACTTTATTTATATAGCACTTTTCATACAAAAAATGCAACTCAAAGTGCTTTACAGATTAAAATGGCCCCATAGATCCCACATTCCCATCCCAGTCCCCCTCCCCAAGTATAAAACAATTAAAAATTACAGTTCCCCTCCCGCACCCAACTTCCAAAAGTGGACATACAATCACCCGCACACTCGTCCATGCACACGCACACACACACACACGCACACACACACACACACACACACACACACACACTCGTGAACACCAGAGTAAACAATAGGCTGAGTTCAGATGGGTCAGGTAATGAACGACACATCATCAGCGGAGCCATCTGCCCGGGCAGCAACAGATCCACGGCAGCAGCCAAGACACCGGCCCATGACGCCCAGTGGCGTAGGGCAGAAACCCCCACCAGTGCCCGGGCACTACCCGGGGAGCGCCCCGGCCGCCGCCGCCCCTGACCACTGGCCCCAAGGCAGAGGGCTCCGCAGAGGAAACACTGGAGGATTTAAGATATATAACATATAAAATAATAAAAGCTAATAATGATAAAAAGTAACTGATAAAAAGTGATTATAAAGATAGTAAAAGAAAACATAATCATGTAAAAAACACTAAGATGTAGATAAAATGATAAAAATAATAAAAGAGATAAATATGTATTTATAGATAAATAGTGATCAGTTAAAAGCTAAGCTGAAAAGGTGGGTCTTGAGCCTATTCTTAAAAGCCTGGATATTCCCTAATATAATAGCAATCCAAAGTGATTTTTATGTGTGATCTGATAATTGATCAACCATTGCTTAAAAATGAAATAAATCTTAGCCAGTTAACTGCTGTGATCATAAAACACGTAAACGGCACGAGGCAACGTTTTATGTGATGTTTACTTGTTGCTATGAGTAATAAGACAGAAAAAGCCACGCCAAAATAAGTTTAGGAAGCCCACTAAGAATCGTAATAAAAGCATTTAAAATAAACACCATACACAGTTGAGAAAACGTTGGTTTAAGTACCTGATATGAAGTGGTCGCTGCATAAGTGAAAACCTTTACTCTCTGGATCCCACAGTTTCATTTCAGCCCGGTCACTAGCGCGTTTTATTACAATGATCCAACGTTTGCGGCGCTCCGGATCTTGGGGAATCCTGTAGAAGGCTCATTCCTTATCTCGTCCGCGTCTGTTCTGCATCCTGGGGCACAACAGGAATCTACCATATTTCCCGTTTGATTGAGTTTTCTGACAATAACAAATGGTTCAGCTGCGGGCTTCTGCCTGCCAATATGGCGCCGTTTCGATTTGAACTGTTGCATGCCGGGAGAAGTGACGTCAACTCCCGGAGCTCTATATGCATGTTTTAGTTGGCCATGACTCAGGGCTCCTGGGAAATTTTAAGCTCCAACAAAATGTTATGTGCTTTATAGAGGCTCAATGTCACGAACAGAACTCAGAAGACCCATAATGACCCCAAACACAGTAAAAGTATATTAAAAAAAAAGTCTTTTATTTTTTGTGGAGTTACCAGAGGTGGGCGAGGCTGGAGACAGAGTCAAAGAGGAGGCGAGGGTCAAAACCAGATCGGACATGCAGAAACAGGGAACAGGCAGGAGACGTGGTAGAGGACAGGTGAAGGTCGTGGTGGCAGGCAGAGTACAAGGCAGGGGTCGGGAGAAAAACAAGGTCCGGAGGCTGAGACCAGGCAGGGTGAATGGCTGGAAGATTTACTGGCACGAAGCTTTCAATAATCTGGCAGAGACTGGATAGCTGGATGGTTCTTATATAGCAGGGGAAGCAGGTGTGTGAGATGAGCTGAGGAGTCAGGAGCAGGTGAAGTGGATGAAGCTGATGACAGGAGCAGGTGAGAAGAATGGAGTTGATTGTGGTTGCCAGGGGAAACAGGGCTTGTCAGGAGCTCGGTGAAGGGAACAGGTGAGCTGAATGAAGGTTAAATAAGGAGGCAGAGGAGGGTGAAGGATGGGAGTCATGACACTCAAAAATCAGTTTTTGATTACTGATTAACTGCATTCTAGGTCTCCTTTAAATGCTTTTACAATGCTTTGAAAATATTTAAGTATGTTTTTTTTTAAACTTATCTCATCATTGTTTTGGTTTAAATTAGACTTTAGTTTAAATAATTTTCTTTTCTCAGATGCAGAAACCTACAGGTTAGGACATTCTTCCAGATACAGACGTGTGTGGACAGAAGGGGGCAGCAGCTCACTGGACCTGTGTCTGATCAGCCAGTTTAAAAATCAATACAGACTAAGTGGGTTTTAAACTATCAGTGCATGTGAACCAGTATTTTTGCTTCCTTCATTTTATTTTCATTTGCATGACAATTACAGTCTAACTGTGCAGGATCAGACGGCGTCATAACTCGTCCCGATCGGACTTTAAACAGCTGATGAGATGAACATATTCGCATAGCTAAGCTTTGAGGCAGGTACCTGGGTGTGATGCTTCTGTGCATATTTAAAATACATGAAAGATGGATACATAAAAACACTTCGCATGAAAGAAAATTATTCTTGGCACAAACTATGCCCACCTATTGTGTGAGGACTCCCCCTCATCACTGATAATGGTGAAAACTGGTGATGTAACAAAACATCCTGAGTTAAAACAATTCCAGTCCTTGTGTCTGAGCGTCTAAACTCTGGCGCTGGAGAACTTGTCCCAGTGGGGGTGGGTCAACATCTGAGGCCCTTTTTAGGGTGTTTCTGAACAAAAGGCTTCAGAAGGTGGCTGTTACATAAAGTCTAATCAAACAAATAGTCCACATGGAGCTGGTGCCTCTGATCAGGAAGATACTCTGTAGCCTGCAGGTTTACAAACTGAGCAGATGTCTGAATCTTCTATCACATCTGAGGAGAATAGCTCTGGTGTTGAAGCAGCCGACTGGCTTTGAGACTTCAGGTTGGTCCAGATTCTTCTGTAAATTCCAGTGAGACCAAAAGTCTTCCAACTACAGAATGGTTAAGCTGTCTGCTTGGAGGTGGACAGTCCCTCTGCAAACCTCCTTTTTCTCCTCAGTTGGGGTAAAGCTGTTCAGCCCCCCTCCTCTGGAGAGAACCATTAGGGTTTCTGCTGACATGCCTCCAAACTCAAAGGCAAACGTCCCGTAGAACAGCATGATGATCATGCAGTAAATCCACTCAAAGATGGCAGAGGTGTGCTGCAGGGCAAAGCTCTCCTGGCAGAAGAAAACTCCACCTGGTGACCAGAAGTTAAAGAGAACAGCTGCAGCAGGAGGCAGATAGATCAGCACTTTTACAGTGATGCGCCTCACTGAGCTACCGCCGAATAACATTAAACACAAAAACATTACTTCAGAAAGAGAAATAATAAAGATAACGCAATTTTCCTTAGAGGAAAAATAAATGCAATTCCTATAATTAACAATAAAAAGAAAGAAAGATTACCTAAAAATGATTAGAACTGTAATAATGAACCGAGTAGAAGTGATGATGATGGTGCTCTGCAGAAAACCTGGCACCAAACATCTCATAAACAAAAGAAATGATTCTGGATGTCAGGAGATGACTCTCCAGCTAAATACACAAACATAAACATATTCTAATTTCCACATTTGTGACATCACAAATCGGGAGTTTTCCTAAAACTCAACAAGGACACAGCACGGACGGAAGGATTTATTTAACATTTGGAGTGTTTATAGGGGCAGTAGAGACCCACATGGCAGCATAAAAGATTGCAAAAGGTGAGTTTTGCATAATGTCCCCTGTAACAGTTAAATGCCTAACGTGTCTGAAAAGCAGAGCCAGTGGCTCATTAAATGGTTTTTCCTCTACCTTCAGCAGTTTGACTCTGAGATGACACAAACACCCCGTTACCCTTCCACCTTCAAGGATACTGAGCACCAGGGCAATCAGCGCCACCAGCGCCATCCCCACCCGAAAGTGGCCGAGCCGGTACTCCTCCTGGGTTTTAGCCAGCCTGTAGGTGAGAGCCGACTGAAGACAGACAAACATCATGCTGGACGGGAAGGCAACTCCTGCTCCAACGTAGTGGAGAACTTTGGCAAAATCCACCTGAACAAACAGAACCAAGACTGTGAGACAAGGCTGCGATGGGAAACGTAGCAACGGAAAATGTGTAATACAATCACTGCTGGAAGCTGCCATCAACAGGGGCTTTGATTTGTTTTGAGCAACTTTATTAGAAACCAACGTATAAAATAGTATTGATGAAACATTCAAAACAAATAGCATAGTCTGAAAATTAGTAGGTAGAAGTAAAACGGATACACCTATCTCACTATTCCATGTTTAAGTCAAACAATATTTATATGTAATTATGAATATTTTAACTTAAATTAAATGTCTATCTGCATTTCTACCCACGTACTTGCATATATAGTTCCTATACACATACAAATCCATCTCTGTCTGCATGCATACTGTTTATACATCGGTTTATATCCCTACGCTGTCAAAATCTACCAAAATATGTGCATAATTACCTTATTATAAAATAATTATTACATTACCACAATCCCCATAAAACATTAACACAAAATAATTAAACCTAACCTGCTAAAAAGAGTCATTTTACTTTTATTTCACCCTTATTAAAATAAACTGGCCTCATTGAGACTCATAGTAAAAAGACAGCTGCCACAACACAAACCTTAAATGTCATTGGACAGAAATCATAGAGGGACAGCTGGCGTCTGAAAACTATAACGATGATGATTCACAGCAAAAACCAGATCCTCTCTGTCCTCAGAGGGGACTCTGTCAGTTTGAACTCATGCAGTCTGTCATAGTTCAGCAAAGCAGCAGGTACCACCTGTCACATTGAGGGTGTGGATGGCGGCGAACCATGTGTGGAGGATGTGGAGGAGCTGACAGGAGGCAAAAATGCAGGCACGGATGAAATAAAAATGGTTTTAATGGCAGAGCGGGAACGACAGAACAAAACAAAGCTGACAACAAACAATGATCCGACAAAGACTCAAACAAGACGGGAGGTATAAATACTCAGGGAAACAATCAGGAACACATGGGCGGATTAACACGGGGCAGGTAAGAACAATAATAACTAATCAGGCAGGGGAGAGACACAGTCAGGGAGGCAGGGGCAGATTGTGACAGTGCCCCCCCCCCCCTCCTTAAGGGGCGGATACCAGATGCCCACAAAGCCACATAACACTGGAGACGGGAACACTTGAATTTGGACTCTGGGAACTGGAACACTCGGACTCGGGAACTGGAACACTTGGACTCGGGAACTGGAACACTCGGACTCAGGAACTGGAACACCCGGACTCGGGAACTGGAACACTCGGACTCGGGAACTGGAACACTCGGACTCGGGAACTGGAACACTCGGACTCGGGAACTGGAACACTCGGACTCGGGAGTTGGAACACTCGGACTCGGAACTGGAACACTCGGACTTGGAACTGGAACACTCGGACTTGGAACAGGAACTGGAACACGGACTCAGAACAGGAACTGGAACACTTGGAAACTGGAACATTCGGAAACTGGAACAGGAGACTGCAGCAGCAGGCGTGGGACCCTGAAGAGACTGCAGTGGCGGGACTCTGAAGAGGCTGCAGCATAGAGGACCTGCAGGCGTAGGCCCCGCAGGCGTGGACCAGGAAGTTGCTGAACTGCAGGAGCGACGCGAGGAAACCCAGCTCGGCGGCAGGTACTCGACAAGCGGTCTGAGCAGGTGCACATCACGATACGCAGGGTCACAGGCAGAGGCTTGGGTGCAGGGAAGCAGAAGAAGGATCTGGGAAACCAGCCCTACCACCCCGAAGAATGATGGCGTGCGTAGGGGTTTTTACTCCACCAAAACCCCAGGATCCGCGGCTTCCGTTGGGAAAAAACAGGACGGGGCTGAAAGCAGGAGAGGAGAATGGGTTCGACCACCCCGGGAACAAATAGGATGCGCCAAAACCCCCTCAAGGGGTCCGACCACCCCGGAAACAGGGTGGTCGGACCCCTGATTCCGACTCGAAACGCCTCGAGTCGGAATCTCCCTCCGCTAAATGGAGAAAAAGCAAAAAAGTAATCCTCCAGGCAGATGTTTAGAGCTCACCACAGGTCCAGGTTGGTCGGATCATTCTTTCATGTTGCGGGTGTGGACGACGGCGGACCATGTGTGCTGGAGCAGATCAGGAGGCAAAAATGCAGGCACAGATGAAATAAAAATGGTTTTAATGGCAGAGCGGGAATGACAGAACAAAACAACGCTGACAACAAACAATAATCCGACAAAGACTCAAACAAGACGGGAGGTATAAATACTCAGGGAAACAATCAGGAACACATGGGTGGATTAACACAGGGCAGGTGAGAACAATAAAGACTAATCAGGCAGGGGAGAGACACAATCAGGGAGACAGGGGCAGATTGTGACACCACCCTGGACATGCAGCTGAAGTAGAGAGTAGAGCTTTTCTTTAGTTGTGTAAGCAAGCAGCCCACTAATGATCCAGGGTCTCATTTAGCAAACATTACATAGAATCCTTACTAAAATCGTACTTAAGCTCAGCAAAAAAATGTACTTACGCCAAGCATGTTTGTGATCTATCAAACTTGGAATACGCACAGCTGCACGCAATCTCCGCTTCATAAATCAGAGACTAACATGAATGTTTCTCAACTGCATTTTAGTCACATACCGCCCTCGCCACGCCCACTTACTGCCATAAATAGTCAATGCAAAGTGCCTTGTGGATCTCATGCATATACATAAGCCGGCTGTTGCAGCGCTCCGCCAATGACATGGCGACCGTAGATCAAGGAGGATCAAGGAAGCACAATTTCACAGAAGCAGAAATTCAGGTACTTGTGGGTGAGGTGGAGAAATGAAAGGAAGTGCTTTTGCAAAACAAATAAGAGAAAATCCACCGAGTGGTACAGCATTGCTAAAGCCGTCAATGCTGTGAATTATTCAGAGATCTGTGGGGGATATAAAAAATAATTGTCCAATCGGGATTCAATCCCCAGACTCCCAGGTGACAGTCACGCACGCTAACCAGTCAGCCAAACAGAGATCTCCCTTGTCCAAGTAGCCAGGGTGCATGATCAATCGGGTCACAGTGACAGGACACACACACTGTCACAGACGTTTGACATTCTGTCTCAATCTGTCCCCCTGCTGATATTCTGCATTCCGTATTCTTCAGGCTGTGTGTGTGTGTGTTTGTGAGTGTGTGTGTGTGTGTGTGTGTGTGTGTGTGTGTGTGTGTGTGTGTGTGTGTGTGTGTGTGTGTGTGTGTGTGTGTGTGTGTGTGTGTGTGTGCGCGCATGGGTGTGTGTTTGAGTGTGTACGCATGTGTGTGCATGTGGGGGGTCTTGTTCTGTGTCAAAACGAAGCAGTACAAGTGATAATGCTGCAAGATTTCATCATTTTATCCTTCTCAGCAGCAGCACTGCAGGTGCTCTCCATGTCCAAAATGTGCGTAAGCAAGGCCCTTAGTCAATTTAAAGTTGCGCAAACTTTGGGATTATGAAAGAAAACTTAGTGGAAAAATTTGCACAACTTTAAGTTGACTAAGGACCTGGCTTACGCACATGTTGGACATGGAGAGCACCTGCAGTGCTGCTGCTGAGAAGGACACAATTATCAAATCCTGCAGCATTATCACTTGTGCTGCTTCGTTTTCACACAGAACAAGACCCCCCCACACACACGCGCGCGCACACACACACACACACACACACACACAGCCTGAAGAATACGGAATGCAGAATATCAGCAGGGGGACAGATTGAGACAGAATGTCATGCGTCTGTGACAGTGTGTGTGTCCTGTCACTGTGACCCGATTGATCATGCACCCTGGCTAGTTGGACAAGGGAGATCTCTGTTTGGCTGACTGGTTAGCGTGCGTGACTGTCACCTGGGAGTCTGGGGATTGAATCCCGATTGGACAATTATTTTTTAATATCCACCACAGATCTCTCTGAATAATTCACAGCATTGACGGCTTCAGCAACGCTGCGCCACTCCGTGGATTTTCATTATTTGTTTTGCAAAAGCACTTCCTTTCATTTCTCCACCTCACCCACAAGTACCTGAATTTCTGCTTCTGTGAAATTGCGCTTCCTTGATCTGCCTTGATCTACGGTCGCCATCGTCTTTGGCGGAGCGCTGCAACAGCCGGCTTATGTATATGCATGAGATCCACAAGGCACTTTGCATTGACTATTTATGGCAGTAAGTGGGCGTGGTGAGGGCGGGATGTGACTAAAATGCAGCTGAGAAACATTCTCGTTAGTCTCCGATTTATGAAGCGGAGATTGCGTGCAGCTGTGTGTACTCCATGTTTGATAGTTCACAAACCTACTTGGTGTATGTACTTTTTTTTTTTTGCTGAGCTTAAGTACGGTTTTAGTAAGGATTCTATGTAATGTTGGATAAATGAGACCCCTGATGGTTTACTCCTGTACATGAGATAGTGGCCAAGGTCTTTCATGCACTCTGCTCATGTAGATTAGCCTGTATCAGAGACTTTATGTCACTGCTCGAGCAGACGCAGCAGATCATGACCTTTAGGCCAAAAACAGGACATTCATGACACTACACTCCTAACCTGCATCTTAAAGCAGAATAAAAAGATCAGGAGGTCCATCTGTGGTTTAAGGGTGAAGACTCCTTCCAGAACTTCTTCCTTTTTGGTTTAAAAGTCATATTTAAACATTTGACTTTTTTTTGGACAAGTTATCAAACAAAGACGCTCAAATACAGAAAGCCGCGTGAAATTAATTCTAATCTTGACAAAAAAGAGGCAGAATGAGTTACTAAGTTAAAGTAAAGTAGAGCACCAAGCCTAAAATGTTATATCAGATGATGCAGAAGCTTATGCATGTGCATTGTCGTAAACTGATTCTGATCCTTAAAGGCTCTGAACAACAACTTTTAAAAAATGTGATTATTTGAGGAAAAAGGGTGGTGCTCAGTTTGTTTCTTTTCAAAATAAAAGTGATGACATGCAGCCAAATGTTGACTTTAAAATCTTGTAATCGCAGTATGAGACAGAGCAAACAGAACATTAATGGAGGTTTACTTTGGAAGGTCTAAAAAGATTTTCAGAATAAAGGAGGTAAGACTCAGCAGCTAGAAAACACAGAAGGATTGGAGGAGTGGGACCCAAAATACAGATACCCAGAACGACATGAGGCAAGGGTAGATGTAAACGAAAACATTCCTTTATTATGAAGATGAAAAAACTAAATAAAATCCAACGAGTCAAACATCCAATAAACCTGGAGACCTAGAGACCTAAAAGGGGGGAGGACAAAACAACGCTGACACGAAACAATGGACCAACACCACACTGAGATGCAGACAGGGTTATATACACAAGGGCTGGGTGATTAGGGAATTGTGCACAGGTGAGACCAATAAAACAGAGGAGGAGCACAACAGAGCAGGGGAGGAAACCAGACCTAAAAATGGGGAAGGGAGCAAAATAAACTAGAGGGAGAAAACTGACTAGATAAAACACTTAACAGAAGACTAATGATAAAAAGTGCCTAAGGGGAAAACGTAAGGGAAAAACCTAGAGAGCCTGGAGGGAGTTGGGGACACACAGGGACACTGAAACCTGGAAGGAACACCTAAGGGGAAAAAACCTGGAGTGGGCTGGGGACACAAGGAGGCACATGAGGAGGGATGCAGACAAGGAGATACATGAGGAACACAAGGAGACACATACGGGAAACCTAGAGAGGGATGGAGAACACAAGGGGACACATGAGGGAGACGCAGGACGCAGACCATGACAAGAAGCTTCAGGAGAGGTTTTACTTTTTGCTTGAAATGTATGGTACAGAACATTGCTTTCCTAATAAAATACAGAAATTTGAATTATATTAACCTTCTCCATCAACATGAAGACAAGATGCAATAACTGATGTGCGCTCATAAAGGTCTTCAAAGCTGTCAGTAATAGTTTATTGGTGTATTCCGGGCCTTAAATCAAGTGAAGGAGAAACAAAAATAAATCAATATGACATCCTTATGACAAATGCTACTAGAGAAATAAAGTCAACACCATTAAACTAAAGAAAACTTAGCAGAATCATTAGATATAATGAATGAAAGCAGTCTGTCCTTCTACCACGAATGGCTCCATACCTGAAACATGTCAGACTATCTGTTTGTTAAAGAGAACCATCAGAAGCATGATCACCTGGAAGTTTCCCACCATGATGAGACCTGCCGCGCAGATCCAGCCGACCGAAAGGCTCGCTGTGTTCATGAGGCAGTTCTGGTGCTTCTCGATGATGTGAGCGTAACGCAGCAGGCTGATCAGCATCACTGAAACAGGCAAACATAAAGAAGACGTGAGACAGGACCAGAACACGAGGTCGGTTCTACAGTTGAGACCAGGTACCGATCCAAGTTACCACCTCACAATTCATCTGCTACCTCTGTTGGGTATTTTTATAATTGTACCTTTTTGAGGCCTAAAAGATGCCCAATTTGTGTTATTAACACTTCATGAATCTCTGTGTTTGCCAACTGTGGCTGTTCATGAAAGGTTGAGCAGAGAAGCTCGTTTGCAGTCAAGGATGTTGATTCCAACCAAACCTCTGTACCTCTGTAACCTGAGAAGGCCCCGCCTTCTCCATCCTTTGCTAAATAAAACCCCTGGCTAACTGAAAATACAGGGGAGTAATGTGGGGACAGCCTCAGAGGAGGTCCCTCTGTGTTAACTCTCCATTATTTTGGGGACTCAGGGTAAAATGTCTTCCTTGTTGTCACGTGTGTTTATTTCAGGTTCCATGGTTATGGAGATTAAATATTACCCCACATTTAATTACCTAACATTTTGGTGGAGGATGCAGGCATGCAGAGCTGGTGAGCTGAAGGCTTTCCCCAGGAGCAGAGGGGGCCAGGTTAGCTCCATGGAGGGGGTTTCTGCGCCCAGCTCTCGCATGACGATTCATGGACATTACGAATAGTCTACTCTCTCTCTCTGTGTCGTCCTTTAAGATAATATGGGATAAAATTAATTACCTATCAACTTCTCCTGGCCAACAAGCTACCTTTGAATTCTGTCTGAGACCCATCTGATTACTGATCATGTTTCAAAAGGAGAACAGCAGGGATCTGATCTGGTGTCACCATGATTCTGCTTACAGCAGAGAAATGAAGAGGAGGGTTGTGACTGGTGAGAGGCAGCAGCACCAGTATAGACTCAACACAGAAAGAGTCAAACCCATCACTTTCTAGTTTTGAGACCACAACAGCAAGCTGCACTTCCTGTAGAAATACCAACATTTTTGCCACAATATCAATGATTTGTGAAATGAATGAAAGTGTAGAAGTTTATAGCATAGAGTCCTGTCATGTTTTAGAAACTGGAGTTAGCTCATTGGTCCGGTCAGATGTGTTTTTCTAACTGAGGTTGTTCAAGGACCAAAAAAATAAAATAAAAAATCTAAAGAAACAGAATTTAAAAATAAATATATATAATCAAGTGTTCATATTTACATTGACTCACACACACAAAACAAACTGTAGCAAAATGATCTGTTTATAAAAAGAGAAGGTGAAAAGAAACACAATAATAAATTAAAGGTATAGCGGAGGATGTTTCTGAATTTCAGGAAAGAATCGCCCTCTCCTCGTTTTGGAAAAAAAAATGTGCATGAGAAAGAATGCCCAGTTATCCTCGTTACAAGTAGCTGTCGGCCTTGCTGCCAACTTCTTCTTCTTCTAGCAGTAATCTGACATGAATTTCTCCAAATAGCATGCATGTTTCATTATGACTAATATCAGTTCTGTGTTCTGTTGGTTTTCCTTCCTGCCCTCCAGCCCACCTGCTCTGTAATCTCAGTGTGGTGCTTTGTCCTCTCCTGGTTGCAACACATTCTCACAAACAAATGCTTGGTCAGCCACCCTCCGCGTCAGACCCTGGGTCGTTATCAGAAGAACAGGGTGGATCAAAAGCAGCAGAAAAATTGCTAGCTGTGCTCTCATTAAGAAAACGAGAACTAACCATACGGCGAGCAAGAGGTGGGGACGTAGAAACTGACAAGTTAAAGAAAATGCAATGGTGATCTGAAATATAAACGTACTCAGGACAAACACTGTCAGCATTTAGACTCAGGGTAAAAACAAGGTCTAGAGTGTGCCCCCTGGTGTGTGTGGAGCCAGAAACATACTGGGTAAAGCTGAAGGAGTCCATAAGGCTCGAGAAATTCATGGCAAAGAGATCGGAGGGATCATCAACGTGGATGTTAAAGTCACCAACAATCACCAGTCTGAACAGCTTCACAGTGGAGGATAGAAAGTCACTAAACTCCTGAAGGAAAGAACTGTTTGGACCAGGTGGACGATAGACCACAGCACAGTAGAATGGGTCCTTACACCCGACTTTAATCAGCTGCAGTTCAAAGGAAGCAAAGTGACCAGAGGTTGTAGAGCTACATGAAAGATGGTCTCTGAAAACAACAGCTAGGCCTCCACCATGACCAGAACCCTGGGGCTGGTTAAGAAAAGAATAACCACTCGGGCAGGGTTCAGTCAGACCAGAATAATCAGATGTTTGCTGCCAAACTTCAGTCAGAAACAGAAAATCCAGGTTTTTAGAGAGAATTAGATAATTGAGCAGGAAGGACTTATTGTTAACAGAGCGGGTGTTTAATAGAGCCATGCTGAGTGAGGTGAAGGAATCAGAAACTACAGAAACAGCTGAAGTTAGTGGACGTAAATTAGCAGGGTTAGATCCACGGTGTTTATAAAAAACACTTATGGAGGGAACAGGAGGAGAAACCACTGAGAAATGAGGATAAACCAACCTTAAAAATCTTGGACGGAGAAACTGCGCTGCAACGCGGCCTGGCGGGAATGCGGAAGTGGCGCTCAAGTCGCCAAACAAAGGACAAGAAGCTAGAAGATCACGCCGATGTTTACTAGATAAACCACACTTTAAGAGAAGTCTTATTCTCATCTGGATTCCTGCTCGTTTACCTCTTTTCCTCCGACGTTTTCCCGGGACCGGATAAACATCGCTGGAGGCGCCCTGGTTGGAATTGTCGTTTGGCTCCGGGCCAGTGCGCCACTCAGATAAACAAACACGGAGGTACGTCCTCGGTGCATCTTGAGCGATCGTGAACTAACGGAAGGACAAAAGAGTCTGCCGATCATAGGAGATGGTAGCAGGGACACTACTGCACATGATCGCATACAGGAGCAAGGTGGAAAAGAGGAGGTTAGTGGAGAAAATTTTGAAAAAGTGGCCGGTGACTGCGGCTAAGCCAAGCACAGGCGCCATCTTGTTACTGAACACATCAACAATTTTAGAGCGACCGACGCATCACTAAAGTGTTAGCTAGCAAGATGGTTAAGGTTCAGATAAGGATGAGGGGAAGGTTAAATAGCAAGACGATAAGGTTAGGGTGAGGTACAATGAGCCTGTTTGGTGCCCTGGCTGCGGACATCCCATCGCGTCAGTTTTACGCTGCATTGGGATCTGCAGTCAGACAAGGGAAAAATCCCTTTTCGCACATAAGTGGCGAAAAAGGGCACTTTTGGCATCAGGGGGTCTGACGCGGAGGGTGGCTGACCAAGCGTTTGTTTTTGACGAGCTGGGAGGGAGAATGTATTGCAGTTGGGGTTCTTGGATTATCTGCCTTGTCGTTGCTTTAGCTGAAGGAGTTTCTTCCTGCAGAGTGAAGTGGTGATGCTACAGATCTCTGTCTGAGCAGATTCCACAAAGCTGTTTATCAAACAGCTCCATCAAAGCTTCACAGCTTCTCGTTGCTCACATCTGGTGCTCAAAACGCCACAAAGAGCCGAGGCCGTCTGTTTAGATGTTCCCGTTGCTGGTCCAGCAGCGAAGGCAGCAGTCACCCTCCAGGTTCTGGGTCATCTGAGGGTCAAGAGGTTCTGCGCTGCAAGAGACAATCTGTCTGATCTGCAGGGCGGCAGTGATACGTCTAATCTTCACTCAAACTCTTTCTGTTAAAAAAACATCATAACCACACATTCTGTGTTGTTTAGAGGAGAATCAACCCGTCGGATCTCTGAGTGAATAAGAACCATCCCTGGTTTATGACTTTCAGTAAAAATGACCTGTCTGTCTTTTACAGATTCTATTATATGACAGAAAATGAAGCAAACAGTAAAAATTAATACAATTCCCATCATTCTTCATAGGAATTCAGACTCTACAAACTACCCTATAAGTTACAGACAAAAACCTGATCTCTGACAGGTAAACAGGTGTGCTAGTCACTAAATGTTCTCAGAAAAATTGCAGAACGAACAAAGGTCACATCAGTGACTAAAGAGAGATTATTTAAGTCAAAGTTTAACTTTTAATCTACCCGTTTAAAATAGTTCCAGCTCTGGTTGGCTGTAAACTGGACTCCAGCAGGAGAACTTCTCCCTGATGCCCTTTGGCCCGGTTCACACAACAATTTTAAACTTAACAGAATATTTTCAATACACAAGCGATCCCACGTGTGGCAATAAAAATATCACTGATGTTAGTGTGGCCCCACAACAAAGACAACACATCAAACCAATTTCACTCAACTACATTTACCAATCAGACAAGAAATCTCAAACACCCCTCCAGATTAAACATGGCTTCAGAGCATGGTGGACAAGGAGACGGATTTGAATGTACCTCGCTTTGTGCAGTGCACATCTGTAACTTTGCTCTCTGATTGGGTACATGTCACATTCAACAGGCTGCATGTTAGTTTTTCCTCTAAAGCCGGGCGTACACTGTGCGACTTTTTCACTCGTAGCACTCAGCTTCAGCTCAAACTGTACGACTTCCTCGCAGAGCAGATCTCACGAGCCAGGCGCTCACACTGTACGTCTGGTAGCAACACGTCGGACCTAAAAATATGCTAAAAATAGCAGTTTTTACTCAACACATTAGACTTTTTTGTCTTGTTTTGCCTGTTGTCCTTCGGGAGTGCTGCAGGGGGACACACAGCGATTTATGGGGGTTGGATGAGGAAAACGAAATAAAGAAAGTAAATCTGTGTTTTGTGATCAGTTTAATTTGACATGAACACGACAAACACGCTTTCTTCACAATCCTTGTGAGTAAAAAAACTTGTGGAAATTAAAACGAACAACGTGTGTTATTAGGGAAATAGCGGGGAGCGGCGTTGATGCAGGATTGTGCATGCGCCGTGAGCGGTTCTGATACATTTTGGGTCGCAGCGCCGCTTCAACAGTGCGATACCCTCACGAGGGACGAGCAAAATATTAAACACGCCAGAAGTCCGTGCGACCTCATGACTGCTGATCGGTAGCTGGTCACGTGGTGTTAATCGCCTCTCGTAACCCCCTGTACACTACACGACCGCTCGGCGCAAAACTCGCCCCGATGTCGTGGATTCTCGCACGACTGGAAAATCGGCTCAAAAAAGTGAAAAAGTCGCTCAGTGTACGCCCGGCTTAGATCTACTCAACATGGCCAACATGTTGGGCATCCCTTATTGATGATGGGACTGGCCTGCACATCCCTCCTAGCTGACCATGAGCGCTCTAAACACACCACATGTGGCAGGAAAATCTCATGAGATTAACTTTAGAGCCATTGTGGTGATCTGGCGTGTCATTACGATTGTTGGAAGGGTAGAATCGGGTCAAACATTGACATAAATGTCCTGCTGTTTGAACCCTGTGAGAGCCCTCTGCTGCAGGTCAGATACTGACTGCTCCACTAAACCACAATTCACTCCTCTGCAGTAAAGCTGTTACCTTAAGTCCTCCCATCACAAACAAAGGCGTGACACACAGAGCTCAGCATATTAAGGGTTAAAGGGATCTTCTACTAACTTTGGCTCCAAGATTTTGTAGCTGTTTCCAGATCTGAAAGCCTTTGTTTGAAAATCTGAGTGGATCAAAGGTCAGAATAAGAATTCTGACAAACATTAGGACAGAAACAGCACCAGCACAACGAGACCCAGCAGAACCCAGGGACTGGCCCACTGGAGGCTTGTTTGGGTTCACGTGAGGCATAAAGAACCTGGCAGCAGGTTCTGGGGAGCAGAGAGTGGTCTGAAGCTGCTGCAGCTGAGAAAACAAGCACTGAGTTCTGCTGGGTGAAAACTGTTCACACATCTCAATCTCTGGTATGGAGACTCACCCAGGAAGGATCCTGTGCTGCAAATGAGGCTGAAGAAGCAGCTTTCAGGTGGGAGAGTTCCACATTTACTACAAAGAAAACCCAGAGGGGACAGGGGGTTATTATGGAGCAGCCTCCAGGTTCTGCAGATTCAAGCCATAAAACCATAAAAAAACAGAGTTTTACAAAGCAGCACTGTTATTAGTGTTCATTTAAATCTCTTCCTTGGTTTCGAACTGTGAAAAATAACTCAGCTCTTTATCTCCGAACCAAAAGCAACATAAGAATGAAGGAACCAGATGTTAGCATCAGCCCGCTCCAACATTTAGGACAAACTGAACAAAAAGCTCCTGTTTATGAGAGAAAATACATGTTTAGATACTTTTATGGATCCAGGAAGATGTTTGAGTGGTGCAGATCACCTCTCACGTCTCCTCAATGGAGGTCAAATGTCATCTGACACCATGGTAACTACAACCTCTGCTTCAAATGACAAATGCCCTGCACTTGTACAGCGTCTTTCTGAATCAGGAGACTCCAAAGCCCTTTACATTACAGTCATCCATTCACTCACTGATGGTGATGAGCTTCATTATAGCCACAGCCGCCCTGGGGCACGCTGAACAGAGGTGAGGCTGCCAAACGCCGGGAGGGTGGAGCATCTTGCCCAAGGACACAATGACTGGTATAGCTGGAGCCTGTGTTCGAACCAGCAACCCACCGATTACAGGGCAAACTCCTTACACCAATCCACCCAAATACTTATTTTAATTCCTTCAGGTCAAACTGATCAGCAAGTTAAAGAGAATTAACTCATTCTGGTTCGCAGTCAACTATACCAGGAGTCACTCCTCAAAATGCAGATTTATTTATTTATTTAACCATCTGAGGTCACAGACAACTCAGTGGACTTTAGGGACAGGACATCTCTGATATGACCTCAGTTGTCAGGAATCTTGGCTTGACCTTTGACCCAGCTCTTACCCTGGATTCTCATGTCAGTTCTCCTGTTCGCTCTTCCTTCTTCCATCTCAGGAACGTTGCTAAGCTGAGTCCCATTCTGTCCCGCTCTGAACTTGAGACAGTTCTCCACACCTTCATCTCCTCACGCTTAGACTACTGTAACTCTCTTTTCACGTGTCTGAGCAGAACCTCCCTGAACCGTCTACAGGTGGTTCAGAATGCCTGTGCTCGGCTTCTGACCAAGTCTTCCAAACACACCCACATCACCCTGCTTCTCCTCCAGCTTCACTGGCTGCCAGTCAACTTCAGGGTTCATTTCAATGTCCTGGTTCTGGTCTATAGGGCCTTACATGGACAAGCACCATCTTACATTGGTGATCTTCTTAGTCCCTACACCCCCAGCAGGTCCCTGAGGTCCAGTGATCAAAGCCTACTGGTTGTGCAGCACCAGGCTAAAGACCAAAGGTGACAGATCATTTGCTGCTGTGGCCCCCAGACTCTGGAACTCTCTCCCCCTGAGCCTGAGATCAGTGGACTCAGTGGTCTCCTTTAAGAAGCAGCTGAAGACTCACTTGTTCAAGCTGGCTTTTGTATGACCTTCTTCACCACTCTCTCTTTATTCTGCTCTCCCCACCTATTCCACCTTCCTCAGGATCCACTGATTCTCCTCTTTCCTGTTCACTCTCTCTCTTTCTTAACATTTTTTCTTTTAAATCGCAATTGCTTATTTTTGCTCATTTCAAATATATTTTTAAACATTTTCTAAATGCTTTTTTATATTTTTACATGTTTTTTTGTTTTGTTTTTGTTTTTGTGAAGCGCCTCGTGATTTTTATCTTGAGAGGCGCTATAGAAATGATATTTTCTTCTTCTTCTTCTTCTTCTTCTTCAGTAATATGACCAACCACCCTGACCTGATGAGAGGAATTTGGTCCAGAGTGCAGCACAGCTCAGGTCCTCCCTGTAGAGAAAGCTGATCCTCACAGGACGCGTTGTACAACCTACAAACACACACGCACGCACGCACGCACACACACACACACACACACACACACACACACACACACACACACACACACACACACACACACACACACACACACACACACACACAATATGGAATTTTTTGGAACCAGTTTAGATGTATTTAATTGACTGACTCAAGCGGATGATCATAAATCAGACTGCATTCTGTAGGAGTCACTCTTAAAGGTTTTTTCTTATTTAAAAGACACCCATCCCACCCTGTTTTTGCCTACACAGTACACACATCTTCTCACTGGAGGTGTGCTGTGAAAAACAAACTCCAGCTGTGACCATTCCACATTTCTGAGCTTGTTTTAGCTCAAACATGATCAGAAAAGAATAAAACATTTGCCTGGTTTTTACTGCAGACACAGACATAAACACTTGTTTTGGTCTGATGAGGTCGTTTTATAAAATAAGGAGACTGAACAGTAGACTGACTGATGTAGAGGAGTGTTTTACCAGTTGTGCACTGGGCAGACATGCTGGTTGTGAAGGGCCATTGCATATCTGGAAAGTTGAGAGAAAAGCTGTTTAGTCAATAGTAATAACAATAATAATAAAAAAATCTTATACATTTCAATGATTATGACTTGTGATTAATACTGAAATCAGCAAAAGTATTTCCTACACAATAATATACAAGTGTTTTACCTTCAGCCAAACAGAGACTTTTGTCAGCATCTAACATGAGCCACACTGTCATAAATATGTGACTCATATAGAAGATTGTTTCTTCTTTTTCTTCAACAATTTCAAAAGAGATGTAATGCATCTTTCCAACAAATTATCATTTAATTGTAGTCATAAATGTACACAATAATAAAATATTAATAATTCAGTCATTATTCTTGAAAATACATTTTTTCAGAAAGACCACTTGAACCATCCACCTTCTCAAAAATTTCAAGCAGCAATGGATTGTGGGTAACACCCTTCACAGAGGTTCCTGCTAATGCAGGCTTTGGTCAAGTATGGATCAAGGCTGCAAAGAAAGGGGCGGGCCGACATCAACACTTGAGAAGCGGGACACCCTACGCACTCACACAGGAATGCGCAACTGAGGGGAGCAAGGGCGATGGTAGCAGGTGAGTTAAATGCCTGCCCCATAACTGGAGGGTTGCAGGTTCAAATCCCATCTGCCACAGTTATAGTGTCCTTGGGCAAGACACTTAACCCGTCTTACCTACTGGTGGAGGTCAGAGTCCGGTGGCGCCTGTGCTTAACAACTTCACCTCTGTCAGTGCGCCCTTGGGCAACTGTGGCTTCCTTGTAGCTCATCCCCACCATGGTGTGAATGTGTGTGTGAATGGATAAATTACTAATTTTGTTGTAAAGTGCCTTGGGGGATTGTAGAACCCTAGAAGGTGCTATGCAAATACTGGTAATTTACCATTTTACCACAAGGGTGGATGTGCGAGTTGGGATTAGGCTTTAGTTCACTGGGTCTTGACTCTTTCTGACACCAAAATGTGACCAATCAGATAGCTTCTGTGCCTTCTGGGGCGGGGCATTAGTGACACAAGAAGAAAGGCAGAGGACAAAATAACTACAATTATTAAAATATATAATAATTGATAGAAAAGTGGAGATGTTAGATTAAAATGTTCAACATGATTACTTTATATTTACCGGTATATACGTTTTTACCTTACATGAATAGAACTTGTCACCGCTTTTTCCTGATGTGGTTAAAATGGATTCAGACTGAAACTCTCCAATTTGCACTCAGATTTAAAAACAAACAAAAAGCCAGATTAGATAAAAGGCAGCTAAACTAATTTGTGAAAGTTTTTAGTCAGATGAATGCACGACAGCGAGATTTTATTGATCACTGATGAGACGAGAATTGATTTGTTTTTAGCTGAAAGATGACACGTCACCTGGAACATACTGGGGTTTAAACATCACTAAAAATGTTTAATCTGGTTTCTGGTTTAGAATAAAATAAAACTGTTACAGATCTTAAACAGCCATGGAGCAGCAGGAGGTCATCACCATTATGGCACGCAACCATTGGCGGTTTTACCATTAGGCATAGGTCGGCGGCCGCCTGGGGCCCCTTGTTAGAATACGATGCTTTTGCCACAATGTCATGGGCTCTATTTTGTTCAGCGTAAGGTTACACGCGATATGAGTTCCGCGTTATTCAATAAAGGCGGGGCCTCCCCTTTTGCTGAGCTGAGTGGGCATTGGGGCAGTGTGGCTTCTAGAGAGCGCCAAGCATGACTGCTGTGGTTTTGTATAGCTAGCGGATAACACAAGATCAGCATGACCGATACCCAGACCAGAGATGGTGGTTTGACTCCCGTGATAGGTGGGCAACCCGAAGCTGCGATGTCAACACCCCTGATGTTGGTTGGGGGGCCCCCTAGCCCTGACTGCTGGCACCTGTCTGTTAATGTCACAATGGACTATTCCTTTAAGACGCCGATGCAAAAAAAGGAAGTGATTGGCAGTCTTTCCGCTCCAGTCCAGTTGGTGGCAGTAATGCACCAAATTGTTGATTGTCAAGTGCCATAAGACCTCGAAGAAGAAGAAGAAGAAGAAGAAGAAGAAGAAGAAGAAGAAGAAGAAGAAGAAGAAGAAGAAGAAGAAGAAGAAGAAAGGCGGGAGCATTTGTAACAAACTAGAAGCGGTAGTCAAAACATTAAGCATGTAATGGAGTTATCCTAGTGGCTCCAATAAGAGAAAGAAGCAGCTTGCTTTAAAACAGCTTTTATCTTCACTTCCAATGGTGACATTGTTTTTCTATGTAAACATCAAAAGGAAGCAGAAAAGGAAAGACAATGGAAAATGTTTAAAGGGAGGAAAACATGGACCAAAATGGAAAATATAAGAACATAAAGAAAGGCAAAAGCACAGGAGCGCTGACAGGAAGAAGAAAGCAGAGCAAATATTGAAAGCGCTCAAAGGGAGAGAAAGACAGGAAAAAAGAGGAGGATGGGAAAACAACTCATGTCAGAAGAGGGTGGAGTTTCGAAAAATCCAGTTAAAGATAAGATTGTCGAAAATTTAGTGTACGGGGGGCCCATGTTTGTGTTCGTCTTGGGCCCCCAAATTGCTAAATCCGCCACTGCACGCAACGGGAAGTGTCGGCTCGCTAATGTTTCTGTCCCGATTGTTAAACCGGTCCAGGTGTGACTCAGACTTCACAATAAAATGAGCTCTAACTTCATGTTGATTTAATTTGAAAGGGTGTGAATGGCAGCTGTTTCTTTAGGTTTTCAGCAAAGGATTTTTTGTCAGTTTGTTCAGTTAATCACTGGAAGCATTTGAACTATAGAACCATCCGGACTCCTGATTGTTGCTAAGGAAAAAAGTTACCTTTTTAAAGATTTTGAGCCATAGTGATAAGAAATGGTGCCCAAAACACCCAGATTTATACATCACGTGCTCAGCTAAACATTCTGTTTGGACAATTTTCCTTCTCCCAGGAAAAACATCCATAAAAATTAGGAAAGAAAGTTGTCAGGATAACCAACAACCTCATGAAATACATACGACCCAAACAGAAAACATGTTATTTAGGGTTGAGAAGATTTTATATTTTTGTTTTGAGATTTTGGAATGGGTCGTCTAACTGCAGAACAAAATGGAGGTTCCACTGGAATCTGAATGAAAAAAATAAGAGGAAGGTGTTACAGAATAGAACGTGTTCTCACGCTGACTTTGGTGATTTTAACCCACCCTGTAATGAAACCACTAACTTGTTTGATTTCCCTAATATTTTATAAAACAAGATAAAAACAAATGTTTACATAAAACAAGTTTTAAATGATTTGCTGCAGCTGTTTGACATTTCCTACCAGAGACCAAAGTGTTTAGTAGGTTTTACAGAACTCACACGACCCATATTCCTGTGATGGTGAAGACGGGCAGGCTGACAGGAAGGAGCATCCACAGAGACATGATGACCAGCTGATCTTCTACAAAACACCAGCAGAAACGGAGTCAGAGATCTTGTTCACAAGCTAAATTACAGCAGCTAACATCTGTCTTGAAGAAAACAGCTCAGACTTTTGGAAAAGGATCTCTGTGGAAACAATATGAATATTTAATATGGTACCTACTGCAATTCGCTCTTAGAACCACCTCAGTTCTGAGAAACAGAGACTAAATCTGCCTAGATTGAAAAGCTAAAGGCTAGTTGGAGCAAATGTGATTCCAGTATACTCGTTATTTCAATAAAATCTGCAGCGGTCTCTAGTAAAAATGAATATCATGTGAGTAGTTCTCTGGCAAAAAGCTCTGGCGCTCATGTTTCAGGAAGTAGAAGTTAGCTGCATGGGGGGAGGGCAGAAAATTGCAGAATTTGAAGTTTCGCTCATTATTATTTCCTGATATTTGGACATTTTTCTTCTGACTGGCCAACTGAAACACGACTCTGCGACTGACTGTTTGCTTTGCAATTTTGATGTTTAATCTCCACAAATAACACAAGCCTGAAGGAGTTCTGCTGTGTGGTGGAGTTGCTAATGCTAACGGTTAGCTTATACTAGCCGAGACGTTCTCTGGCTGCAATAATCAACCTTTCCTGGTGACGAGCTAAGTTGGGTAAGTCCACGAATGCTAATTTACAGTGTGGCATTTCTGTTTGGCTTTTCCTGACCTGCGCGTTTCCCTGTCTATTACCTATCAGCGGATAATGTAGGATGTTGGGGTATAAGAATGTTTTCAAAGTGACCTATCATATTTCAAATATAACAAGTAAAAAACTGTTTCTCAGTCTGTGCGTTTACATGCAGCCAGTAACCCTTTTAAAACCAGAATATTCACAATAACCCGGTTCCGCAGGTCCATGTAAACACCGCCAGAAACCCGGATATGCTCATAACCGGGTTTTTAAAAACCCGGTTACTACACCTGGGGTAACCCTTTTCTAACCCGAATGTTTGGTCGTGTAAACGCATATCGGGATATTCCCATCAAAGCGTGTGTTCTCTGTTCGCAAGGAATCTTGGTCTAGCGAGACGTCTTGTATGCGCCAGAACACCGGAAGTAAACAACAAGTTGGGAGCAACATGGCGAGTTGCGGCACAGCACCCCACTTTTGGAGTGACGAGGAAACTAAAGCGCAAAGAAACGCGGTCGCTATCTCTTCCGAACTGGGAAAAATGTTGTTGTTTTCACGGATACCGGAACGAGAAGAACCGGAAATGACGCATATTGCGTCTGGACGTAGTCCATACGTCATGACGCTACCCCAACGTCCGCATTTAAATCGGGTTATGCAAGTTAGAGGTAACTCTTTCTATTTATGCTTGTAAACGGGTTATTCTGGTCAACTCAGAAACCCGAATACCGACCTTAACCCGATCATAACCCGGATATTGGCTGCATGTAAACGTACTCAGTGAAGAAGGATGCTTTGCTAACCTTTAGCACCGCCCTAGCCTGTACAACCAGATCAAATCTTTGTTTCTCCTAACTGAGGTCTTTCATTAGGAGTTATGTTTGACCAAGAAAAACAAAATATTGATTTTTAAAATATCTGAGCAACTTAATGGATCAAGCGGATGACTGATTATTCAGCGAATGCATTGATCCACCTAGGAGACAAGATAGATCCGAATTCCTGAGGCTGGGTCCAGAAGTCACGGACTGATCTCAGGGTTTTGTGTGTTTGTTTCTGCAGTCGGAAGCAGCAAAGAGAACATGAAATGTATTTTTACAGACATGAGGTTGTACTTCAGTAGTTTTAAAGAATACAGACAATGGTTAAAGACACGGAAAGAACACAAACCATATCTGATTTGTAAACAATCCTTGAAAGCTCTGAATCAAACCAACATCTGTCAGCTCAGCTGACGATTATTAAAACGGTTTCAGCTGCAGGGGGATTCTCAAGAGCCCTGCTTCCTCCTCTGTTCTGATAACCGCTCTGAGTTTTCCTTCAGTCCCATGAAAACCTGATTCCTCACAACCTTCAGACTCCTTTACTCTGCAGGGTACTGAGGCGTGCTAAATAAGTGAGACTGAACAACAAAATGGACACAAAAGCAGCCAATGAGCAAAGACAGACTTCAGAAAAGGAGAAGAAAAATGAAAAAGAAAGATTTCAAAGAAGTCGGGGAAGACGTTAGCACCTTTAATTTGTTTCTGTTGTAAAATGAATGAATTGATAAATATCTATCAGAGAGGTACTAAAAGCATTTGGTCATAAATGTTGGCAAAAGGAGATCTGAGGCACTCAGGAGATACATTTTTTTATCTTCTGAGTGCCTCAGATCTCCTTTTGCCAACATTTATGTGGATCCCTTGGCTGAAGAGCACCAGATACAATTTCTTACACCCCTGCAGCACTTCCAGCATTTTTTCTATTAGCATTTGATCGTATTTTGTATGAGTAAAACATGCTGAGTGACTAATTCAGATGCTTATTAAATCTCATCTGAGCCCATTAAAGAGTGTTTTCCAGTCTGAACTCAGTATGGAGAGGGTTTTTTTCTTTCTAAGCAGCAGCAGTTTTATGATTTTCAGGTTTTTCCCAACTTACCTTGTTTGTTTGCTCAGAGCTTTCGTCTCATTTCAGCTTCTCCTCACAGGCAACGTTTCTGCTGCCGGTCTCATGGTCCAGGAGCCGTTTCTCAGCTGATCGGGGTCAGGACGGACGGAGCGGCTGTGTTTCATCACTTCTTCTCTCTGAATCCATCTGATGAGCCGAGGAGGAGAACTGCTGGACTCCTTTTTAACTCCTCCCAGATCAGATTCTTCTTCTTGGGAGGAGGAGAATTTATTGGTTTATAAAAACAGTCAAATATCTCATCTTTCTGAGTCTTTTTAAAATGAGCTTAAAGGTGAAGTCTGATGGACTCTAGAAGTTCCCTCATGTACAAGTTCATCTGGAAAAAAAGTGAATAAAATTAATATATTTTGTCACTTGTCAGAAAACTAAGCTCACATATGACATAGATTCATCCCACACGGTGAAATATTCCACTTTTATTTCTTGTAACTATGGCTACAGATAAGAAATCCCTAAATTAGTTGTCTCAGCACATTAAAATATTAAATAAGATCAATTAAAAAAACATGTTAAACATAAAATCAGGCTTCTGAAATCATGAACTGAGTTCCTGGTTGGGTCTGCTTTAGCATGAATGACTGCTTCAGTCAGGGGCGTGTCCAGGGAGTGGCCTGGGGTAGCACATGCCACTCTTAGAATCTGATTGGCCACCCCAGGTGCCACCCTACTAAGTTCCAGTTTAAACTGACTTTACATTGTCAACAAAAGGCCTGAGTTGTAAACTCCAAAAATTTTGTGTGGTAGCATGCACCTTTAACATTGTCTTCTAGCCCAGGCCTACAGAACGTTTCTGTAGTATTAATATTATTTATTATTTTTTCATATTCACATAAATAGTATTTAGAGTCCCACTCAACTCCAGTTGGTGGCAATAATGCAACAAGAAGTGACTTGCTAACCACCACAAATCTAGAAGATGAATAGAAAAAAATGGTGATTGTACAATGTGAAACTCCAAAATTCACTAGAAAGTAAATAAATAAATAAATAAAGGACTTGTGTAAGTAAATAAATAAGCATAACTATTGGTGCCACCCATGCATAAACAAGTGCCCCACATGGGCCACCCCATTTCAAAAGTCCTGTACACAGCTCTGGCATCAGTGCAGCATGGAGGCCATCAGCCTGTGGCTCATCTTCGTTGTTGGTCTGGTGTATCTTCGTCCTGTTGACTATACCCCATAAACTCTCTGGGGGGTTCAAGTCAAACCAGTTTACTGAGTAATCAAGCCCAGTAAACCCAGGATCACTGACCCAGCTATGGTACCTTGACCAGTGTGGGTGGGTACCAAGTCCTGCTGGAAAATAAATTCAACATCACCATGAAGCTTGTCAGCAGAAGGAAGCAGGAAGATCTAAAATGTTCTGGTAGATGTCTGTGTGGAAGGTGGACTTCAGAGGACACGGAGGACCAACACCAGCAGAGGACATGGAGACCCACATCATCACTGACTGAAAACTTCAGCCCTCTGTGAACAAACAAAGCGCGCTTAGTTAAGACAAATTAAGTCAAAGTCAAAAAAAGTCAAAGTAAACTTTATTGCCTGCACCCCACAGGCAAGCAGAGAGACTAAATGACGTGGCTCCAGGTTAATCAGCGGAGAACAAAATGCAGAAGCAGACACACATAAAATAAAAAGAAGTAACAGGCTCAGTGATGATAGATAATCAAACGTTCTACACAAAGCTGTTTTATTATGTATTCATCTAAACGTCTCTGAACAGCAGCTGGGCTTGTTTAAGAGGTCCAGCAGGAAACAGAACAGCTCAGTGCTGCCACTAGAGAGCGCTAGAGTCACCAAAGATGCGTGATCAGCGCGTCATGCTTTATGAAAATGTGTTTGACTCCAAACGATAAAACACAAATCTCTCTCTCTCTCTCTCTCTCTCTCTCTCTCTCTCTCTCTCTCTCTCTCTCTCTCTCTCTCTCTCTCTCTCACACACACGTGAACGAATAATTTACTTTAATAATAAAACATTTTGGTTAATTTCCTATTTTGAGAGAGAACCTTCCTAAATACCACAGATCGGTTCTCTGGGATTACTCTAATCTGGGTTTGTGTTCCTGGTTCTGGGCTGTGCGCTCCGCCCAGTGGGAGGTTGGGTGGTGTCAGCGGAGTGCTTTCAGTCAAAAGTGGTTCAACTTGTTGCCCCCGTTTGAGAACTGGACAGGGCCGATGACAGAACCAGGACCGGGACCGGAACTAACCAGCTCCAGCAACCTGCAGCAGTGCGCGTCCTGCTCAGGTAAGATGACCGGAGACCAATTGACCTGTGGACACTCTGTCTGTGTCTCCTGCCTCGGAGACAAAAGCTGTCCGACGTGTCTAAAGAATCCCGCGGAACCGGATCCCGAGAACGGCCTCAGACAGAACGGAGCAGCTGAGCGGAAAGAGGACCTGGGTCAGGAGGAGGACTCCACACCAGAACAAATCAGAACGCAAGCAGACCTGAATGAGTCCGATCCCCAAAAACCAGAGGTGGACCGGAAGACGGCGGAGACGGAACAGCAGGTCCAAACTGTGGAGCAGAAGGAGGAACCGTTGGGTCCTAACGATGTGGTGTGTGACTCCTGCATCGAGAGTCCCCGCAGGGCTCTCAAGTCCTGCCTCACCTGCTTGGTTTCGTACTGCGAGGCCCACCTGCGGCCCCACCTGGAGAACCCCAAGTTTCAGAACCACCGGCTGGTGGAGCCGCTCGGGGACATCGAGAGGCGGACCTGTGAGAGCCACAAGTGGCCCCTGGAGCTGTTCTGCTCCGCTGATGGTTCCTGCATCTGTCAAGACTGCGTGACGGAGGAGCACCGGGGCCACACTGCGGTCCCGGTGGGGGAGGCCCGGAGACGGATTGAGGCAAGTGCTCCAGTTAGAACAGAACTAACGTTAGAATAATAGTGTTTAACCTCATCTTGTGTCGTGGCCATTAAATCTGGCTCGGAACATCAAAGGAACTTCCTTAGGACCGCTGGAGAACCTGCTCCTCATGCTGACGCCACCATGCATCAAGCCTCTTTTGCTACCAGACCAGTGCATGCAGGCCTACATGTATTTATATTTGCTATAAAATATATTTAAACAAAAATATATATCAACGAGTTTGACTTAATGAATGAAGCAATTAAATGCCTAACTTTTCACCTGCTAGCCCCAAACCTGAGCTAGTTAGTGTCAGTATATGTTGGACACAGTGGCGTGTCCAGATCTTTTAAAATGGGGTGGCCCAGGTGAGGCACAACTTTGTGCATGGGTGGCACCAATGGTTATGCTTTTCTTGTTTTACCCCCAAGCCTTTTGTGGACAATGAAAAGCCTATTTAAAAGTAAATTAGTGTGGTGGCACCTGGGGTGGCCAATCAGATTCCATGGCATGTGCTACCCCAGGCCACTCCCTGGACACGCCCCTGGTTGGACATGATCTCAGGGTCGGGTGTTATCAAGAGATTTGGCTTATGGGCATCCCAGTTGCTTTAAACATCTGTTTAATCTAATTATCAGGTCCAGTCTGAGGAAGTCTTCTTCTCCGATCAGGCCTGAGTTTCAGCCACAGCTCGTTCTAATATCTGAGTCAGTGCCAATAGAGGAATGTTTTCTCTTCTGCACGTGTTACCCGTAAACAAACGGGAAGTAGCTGCTTCAACTACAAATCTTCACAATAAAAAACTCTGCTCATTTCCCTAAAAGTCTCACCTGGAATTTGCATGACGTCATGCAATCATTAAAATTGTGTTGCTTCTGTAACCATTGCGATCAATTAACAAGTCCAAATGAAATGGACTAACGAGGCTAGTTTTTATATTGTATGAAGTAGAGGTAAAAAGTATGTTACTATACATAGTTACTCCAGTCAAGTATTGGAAGTATTTGTACTTTGCTATTGACCCAGACCAAAACGGTTTATGCTCAGGTAAACTTTGCAGGTGTTTTAGGTATATTTGCTGATGATGGTGTGACACCTCATGTTCCTAATGTTTACTTTTTTTCACTATTCTAATTTTCTAAGTAATTTTGGTTTTCATATCTTATTCTTTACATTAAAAAACAAGCAAACAGAAAGTAGTTGTTGAAACTAGGAGAAGCCACTGTCAAACCTTCCCATTTCTGCTCATTTCCATAAAAGTCTCACTGGAATCTTTTTACATGATTACATGCAACTGTAAGTTACTTCTGCAATCAGATATATCTAACATTTGTCATTCTTCTGCAGAAAATAATATTTCTATCCCATTGGTCAGTGGAGTTGTGTTAATCCAAAAGTTAGTTTTAGGTTGTTTATTTGACCTAAACATAAATCATGTTGATTAATTACCCTCAAACCTTGGTTACCTGCCTGGTATTCAACTCCATTCAGATTCCTCTTCCTGTCAATTGGTTAGATTTCTGCTGATGTTGGAGGACATTTGATGTTTCTGGTGTGAAAGTTGACTTCATGTCTGACCTGGTGCAGAAATCCTCCCTTCAGCAGTTTCAGGTTTGAGTTACTGACCTGATTGCAGGAGCTGATCTACATCTTCAGTCATTTGATACTCTGCTGATTCTAAAGACAACATGAGTCAAACAGTGACTCTAATCTCTTATTAAAGTTAGTTAAAACCTCCTGTAAAGGTATACTGTAGTATTTAAGAATAAAGTGAGAATTTCCCAGTGAGAAAATCCCAAAAGAGTCTGATGCATGGACGTAATTTTTTTTGGGGGGGGGGACAGGGGGGAAATGTCCCCCCCACTTTTTCCAAAGTCAAGTTTTGACCCCTGCACTTTTTACCATCCAAAAACAATATTACGCTATATTAAATTGATAGTGGTTGAGCTCTAGGACCAAGCGGAAAGCAACCGTTTGTGTTGAAGCCTGTTTCCCATTAGAACATACTGTAAAGATACCCCCCCACCCCCCACCCCACGTGTCCCCTCCACTTCTAAAGTGAAAATTACATCCATGGTCTGATCTGATGTCATTTTAGAAGGAAGGTTATACTGAAACATATTTCATATCCATCTGGCTTTGGGGATCGCCACTTTTTCTCCTTCTTAAACAAAGGAAAGAGGGACATAACTACTGTTCACAGTGAGTGTGGCGTTGCCGTGTCTCCCGCGAGCTAATACTGCAGCGCCGACTATTGTAATTTGACGATGGCCAGCCCAGCTAAAAGCTCCAGAGTTGTTTAAAGTGGTTGCAGGAACCAAATTGTACCACAGAATGTAATTTTTACTTCATTTCTACATAATGCACCTTTAAGGACCAATCAAGAGAAAACTTTTTTATTGCATTTCAGAGAAAATGATTTACACCGTTTGTTCACATGAAGGGTCGATGAATCTGGTAGCAAAGTGTGTGTTTAATATCTTTTACCTCTGTGTCTACTCAGAGAAAATACCAGTTGGTGTTCTGTCCTTTTTTGTTGCATATAAATTCTGAGTATTTCTACCAGTGACACTAAAGTCTGCTGAAGGACAATTTCTCAATCTTTTCTAAAATGTGTCCAGGCAGTAAATTCTTGTATTTGAGCCATAGGATATGTATTTAATGCATAGAATCAAACTGAAGTTTCTGTTTGTTTTCAAACCCCCTCCAGGTCTGAACTCTCATCAAAGCTCAGTCTCAGAATGACATCCTCAGCTCCAGAGTCGTCTGGACCTGCACGAGGAATTTAGACCAGACTTGTGTAAAGGGTTTAATTTACATGTTATTTAATGAACCATGAGACATGAGATTCCATAGAAAATATGGAATCAATCTTATGGATCTTTGGGTACTTTTAACCAGAAGATTGGAACTTTTTATTGCAGGGATTATGTAACACTTCGTATTGACTGAGAGACAACAGAAGAGAGAGAGTCAAGTTTTAAAAGTTTAAAGATTTATTACTAAACAAATTAAAACTAGACTAACATTAAACACTAAATGTATTGTGTAACTAAGTTGAAGTGAGACGGAGAATGGTGTCGTGTGGAATGTTGTTCAGAACCAGCAAATCTGGGGAAACGGTTAGTTCTGATGGGAGTGAAGGTGATGTCTTCGCGCTAAGCTTTGATTCTGAGATTCATAAACGCATAAGACGCCATTTTGTCGCTTCACACATACCCTTAGAATGGGACCTCCGTACAGATCCAGAATGCCAGGTCCTCGAACCCCTCTTTCGGTACCGGAGCCGATGAAACAGCGTCAGCAGTACGACAGACTAGTCTTTGGATTGTCTCCGGGTAAAAAGCGACAGTTGGTTGACAGCGTCAGATGGACCCGGAGGGTCAATGAGTTCAGCTTTTATTCTGAAAGGAACCGTTGCTTGGTTGGTAAAATGCAACAGATTTTATCAAGCTTGTCGTTGGTTCTTTCAGCGGAAGAGGAAAGTTACGGATTGGTCACTCCCGACAACTTCTCTAGAAAGCTTTGAACTGGCGTTAAAGATGATGTGGGCATAGTTTTATACTTCTGATGTTTTGGTTTATGGTCGAATGAAAAGATGACAGATTTACCAAGCACCACCAAAACCACACCTCCGTCATATCTGGCAGATTCTGATTGGATCAGTAAAAGCAATGTGTCATGTCTTAATGCTACGCGTGATCAGTCCTAGTGGAAACATTTAAAGTTATATTACTTATTATATTCTATAGGATTATATTTAAAGTAATTAATATTTTCATTTCACAAATTGGTTCACATTTTATTGTTGACTAACACTTTTTAAAAATAGAGTTCTTTGATTTATTAAAAAGGAAGAGTCCTTTGTCTTCATTCTTCTCTTGCGCTGGAAAGGAAAACAGTTTAGAAGCAAATGCATGAGACCTTGAGGCAATATCTCATGCAGATTAGTTCTTGCTGAGGAGAGGAGGAAATTACTTTTAGGTGGAAAACAGTCATTTCATTCCGTTACACTTGTTAGACTGAAAACCAGCCAGAGGTTTGAAAGACACAAAGGACAATAAATCACCCTCTCAGAAAACCGAAACAAACAGGAGAACTCTGAATCCTGACATCTGCCGGATAACCAGCTGCATATTTTCAGCATGACTATGAGGCTTCAACGAGGAAGCGTGTTGAACTCTTTTGGTTTCTTGTGATCACAGAAAGAGCTGAAGGAGAAACAAACCGATGTGGGGAAGACCGTGACAGCAGCGGAAAACGCCATCAACAAACTCCAAGCCAACACCGTTTCTATTGAGGTAAACATAAGTCATGATTCACAGCCTGAGTGACTCGAGGGTGTCTCCGGTCAGACACTTGTGAAAAAAATATTTCTAAACATTTCAAATACGCCCAAACTGGTTTCCCTGTAAAGTCACGCTTGATTTATGATAATATCTCAGCTAATCCTTCTCCTGTAGGATTATGGGTAATCAGAGTCACGTTATCTTTCACAGCATTCAGTGACGGAAGTCCGAGCTGTGATCGAAGCTCAGTTTCAGGAACTGCAGGTGAAGGTGGAGCGGGCCAAGAAGGAGGTGACGGAGATCCTGGAGGGCGAGGAGAGCCAGGCGCTGAAGCAGGCCGAGGGCATCCGGGCTCACCTGGAGCAGAGGTGCTCTGACCTTAAGAAGACTCAGGCCCAGATGGAGAAGCTCTCCAAGAATCAGAATGATGTGGACTTCCTGCAGGTATGAGCAGAGCCTAGAACTCCAGGACATACGGGACTTTACTGAAAAATACACAAATCTCTTTTTTCTAGCCATGAGTTGGCTCAGTTTCATCAGCAGTCACAATTTCTTCTAGAAACCAGTACACTCTTATTACTGGGATAGTAAAATCCCAAAATATGGTCTCGTGAGATTAAAAACATATTAAGGAGGTGGTACATGAATGACTATTCACTCAATAATCTTCGGTTTCTTTCACATAGTTCATAAGTCCTCCAGAAGCTGTAGAAAACCAGTTAGAAACCCAGAACCAGTAAAAGGTCTGATTGTGGGTGTGGAGCTGTGCACATCAGAATGAGTGGTTTGGTCACAGTGACATTACAGGTGACGGTCATAAAATTAGAAATTCATGCAGGGTTGATTTTATTTCAGTAATTACATTCAAAAAGTGAAACTTGTGTATTAGATGTATTTATTACACACAAACTGATATATTTCTAATGTTTATTTATTTTCATTTTGATGATTATAACTGATGAAAATCCAAAATTTAGTATCTCAGAATATTAGACTATCAGTCAAGACCAATGCAAGAAAGGAATTTTAGAAATGTTTGCAAAGTGAAAAGTATGAACACGTAAGACTCAATATTTAGTTGGGCTCCTTTGGATTACTGCAGCAATACAGCGTGGCATGGAGTCCATCAGTCTGTAGCACTGCTGAGGTGTTAGGAGAGGCCATGTTGCTCTGATAGTGGCCTTCAGCTCCTCTGAATTGTTGGGTCTGGCGTATTGCATCTTCCTCTTCACAATACCCCATAGATTTTCTATGTGGATAAGGCCAGGAGAGTTTTCTGGCCAATCAAAAACAGGGACACCATGGTCCTTAAACCAGGTACTGGTAGATTTGGTGCTGTGTGCAGGTACCAAGTCCTGTTGGAAAATGAAATCTGCATCTCCATGAAGCTGGTCAGCAGCAGGAAGCTTGAAGTGCTCTATAACATCCTGATAGACAGCTGCATTGACCTTGGACCTCAGAAAACACAATGGACCAACACCAGCAGATGACATGGCACTCCAAACCATCACTGACTGGGAGCTTTACACTGGACCTCAAGCAACGAGGATTCTGTCCCTCTCCTCTCTTGCTCCAGACTCTGGGACCTTGATTTCAGAGAAAATACCTTTTGACCACTCGGCAGCAGTCCAGTCCTTTTTGTCTTTAGCCCAGGGGAGACACTTCTGATGCTGTCTCTTGTTCAAGAGTAGCTTGGCACAAGAAATTGGACAGCTGAAACCTGCCTTGCATACAACTGTGTGTGGTGGTTCTTGAAGCAGACTCCGGCTGCAGTCCACTTTGTGAATCTCCACATGTATGACTAGGTTGTTTCACAATCCTCTCCAGGGTGCAGTTATCACTATTATTGTAAACTTTTCTCTACCACATCTTGTCCTTCCCTTCTCCTCTCTATTAATGTGCTTGGACACAGAGCTCTGTGAACAGCCAGCCTCTTTAGTAATGGCCTTTTGTGTCCAGCCCTCCTTGTGCAAGATGTCAGTGGTCGTCTTTTGAACAACTGTCAAGTCAGCAGTCTTCCCTATGATTGTGTAGCCTAATACCTAGACTGAGAGACCATTTAAAGGCTTTTACAGGTGTTTTAAGTTAATTAGCTGATTAGAGTGTGGCACCAGGGGCCTTCAATATTGAACTTTTCACAATATTCTAATTTTCTGAGATACTGAATTTGGGATTTTCATTAGTTGTCAGTTATCATAAAAATTAATGAAGTAAACATTTGGAATATTAGTCTGTGTGTAATGAATGAATCTAATATACAAGTTTCACTTTTTGAATGGAATTACTGAAATAAATCAGTGTTGTCATCATGTTCTAATTTTAGGAACAGCACCTGTAGATGGTGGTTCATCACACAATGTAAACAAAATTCACTAAAACCTACAATTAATGTTCTTTAGACGACTGTGGAAATAAAGAGAAATGGGTGTGAAAGCCCCGCCCCCTTTGGAGCTCTATAGCTCAAGTAGACTTCACGGTAGAAGCATCATTTAAAAATTGGAAACCTTTCTCCTCAGACTTTCTTTTATAAGTTTACACATCTAAACATCAGCTTCCACCCACCGTCTCTCTCACTCGTGAAGGATGATGCTAGTTTCATACTTTAGCTCAGACTGTCCCTATAAACCAGAAGTGACAGGTTTTGTGACATGTCCCTCAGAACTAGAGGTGTGAATTTCCCCAAGTCTCACCATTCCATTCAATTACCGTTATCATGTCAGTGATTCAATTTGATTTGATATCTCAATGCATCAGGAATATTTTATATGGGTTTATTTTCATCAATGAATAGAAGTTGTCAGATATTTGCCATTTTTATCAAAACGTCTCTGACGAAGCACACCATCCCCCAAAAGCTTTTCAATCACAACAGCCCTGAGGACAATGTAAAAGTGCTAAACATTTTAAATCTATTAAGATGATTTAAGGAAGGCTGTTGGAGAAACGTGCTCTGTAGATGCTAACCGTATCTTGAAAAATGCTGAAAACTTGTAGGATGGGCCCAATTCTTGCCTTCCATTTAGTTGATAAAATCCATAATAGGTCCATATGTTAGCCTTTAATGTATTTGGAGCAGCTTTAGGATCACGCATTTATGCCATGGTTAAACAAATTACTTCACATAATAATCGATTCATTCATTCGATTAATAATCATTTATGTCTGCATCTCGATGCATCGATTATTAGATGAATTTCCCCAGCTCTACTCAGAACCACCGTGTTTGCATTCCAGGAGTATGCCAACTGGAAGAAAGACGCTGCTGATGGCTCTCTGCCTGGGATCTATATCGGCCTGATGGATCGCCTGGACTCCTTCAGCCAGGTGGTCATTGAATCCACACAGGAGCTCTGTGACATCTTGATGTCCTCCTACATCGAGAAGGTCAAAGGGACGTGTAAAAATGGTAAGAGAAGCGGAGAGATCTCAGCAGCAATCTGCTGGAAGTAAGGCGTTCAGATGCTTCTTTGACTGTCTGGATGTGTTCAGACTTGTTAAGAGTGTGTGTGTGTGTGTGTGTGTGTGTGTGTGTGTGTGTGTGTGTGTGTGTGTGTGTGTGTGTGTGTGTGTGTGTGTGTGTGTGTGTGTGTGTGTGTGTGTGTGTGTGTGTGTGTGTGTGTGTGTGTGTGTGTGTGTGTGTGTGTGTGTGTGTGTGTGTGTGTGTGTGTGTGTGTGTGTGTGTGTGTGTGTGTGTGTGTGTGTGTGTGTGTGTGTGTGTGTGTGTGTGTGTGTGTGTGTGTGTGTGTGTGTGTGTGTGTGTGTAATTGTTCTTTTGTTCATTTAAGACAAAATGGGGATAAAGACAACAGTTCACGCCAAACGAAACAGGTTTTTACCGGATCCAAAGACACGAGATGACTTCCTGAAATGTAAGTGTTGTTTGGCTGAGTAGAATCACACGTTTGTAAACCACAATGACACTAGAATGACTAGTTAGCTTCAATTAATGCAAATCCAGCTTGAATTACACACAGATACATGAATGATTTTGTAAGGACAGACGGGACATTGAGATGATACCAGTCCTGGTGTGTCTGTGCACAGAACAGCTACGTCCGAGTGAATGATTCCTTTTTAAAGCTGTCTGACTTTATAATAACCCCACCCTGTCTGCTGAGAGCCCCCGGGGTGGCTGGTTTGTGTTCTTTTCTTTCACGTATCTCAACAGTTTGAATGCTGCTAATTTTATGATGTATCAGATGAAATAAAATCTTGAGCAGGTCTTAGGTACTGTTTTAAATTTAGATTTTTTTAATCCTGTCAGCAGCCAGAAACGGATCACTGAGCCCCCCAACCTAAACGCTTCCATTGCTCATCAGAAACTAAAACTCCAACCACCTCAGAAAGCTGAGTGTCTTTTAAACTGCCTATATTAGACTGCTGATGTGTTTTAAAAATAACGTAAACACATGTCTATCGGTGTAAAAACACAGACCAAAGATTTCGTTGGGAAAACTAGCTCACATGTAAAACTTCATTGCATATTTTTTAACTGGAAGATTATTGAGCAACCTGGAAAAATGTTTAGAATATTGATAATTTTAGCGGTTTTGGAGCACCGGCCTTGTGGAACATTCCCTTTCTTAATCCTGTAGAAACTTCAGCTCCTCTATCAAACCTTCCATGAGCTGTAGGAGTGTGTTCAAGGGAACTTCTGTGAGGTCAGGTTCCTCCACACCAGAGTCGCCCATCCATGCCTTTTCTGAAACACCTGAATGGGTGGGTGGAGCGGTGTCCATAACTGTAAACACGGAGACAGCTTTGCTGTTGGGCGTGTAGTTTCTGTGGCTCTGGTGAAGAAAACCGATCCAGAACGCCGCTCTGTTTGTGCTTCTTATGCAACATGACTGACGTGCTGAGTCATCCTCTACAGATTCTTCTCAGTTGAGCTTCGATGGTGAAACTGCCCACAAGTTCCTCCGTCTGACTGAGGAGAACAGGAAGGTGACCAACACCACACCCTGGCAGCATCCTTATCCTGATGTACCGGAGAGGTTTGAGCACCATCGGCAGGTTCTGGCGGCAGAGAGCTTCTATCTGGACCGCCACTACTTTGAAGCGGACATCAGCGGGGATGGAGTGCACATCGGCCTGACCTACAAGAGCGTCGACCGTAAGGGGAGCGAGAGTAACAGCTGCATCACAGGCAACAACTTCTCCTGGTGTCTCCAGTGGAATGGACGCACCTTCTCAGCCTGGCACAGTGATGTGGAGACTCCACTGAATGTGGAGAGGTTCCCTCGGATTGGGGTTTACGTTGACTACCCACGAGGCCTCCTGGCTTTCTATGGAGTGGGTGACACCATGACCCTCATCCACAAGTACGAGGCAGAATTCCTCGAGCCGCTCTACCCAGCTTTCTGGCTGTCCAAGAAGGAGAATGTTGTTGCCTTGGTGTCACCTGGGGAGCTTTTACCTCTGAAGAGCCCCTCCCCTCCTACGCCACCTCTCAACGAAGCTGTTGTTGCACAAACCTAAAAATAAAGTTTACAAACGCTCACATGACATCTGCAATGTGGAAATTCTTTACATTTAACCTGTTTACAGCTGATCGTTGGTGTTACAAAATTACATCATCTCATATTTTTGAGTGATGCCTTAATGTGCTTTTTGAACTACGGTTACTAGAAATGTTCTGTATTTTTACTATGCAAATAAAAAAACAGTATAAAGAATTAAGTATATTATAGAATTAGACAATATGTATTTTAGTCTGTTTTTTTTTATCTTTTACGACGAATCATTTGGTAAACAGTTCTGTAACCATTTATTACTTTGATTAGGGTTATTAAATGAGTTTGATCTGTTTGAGTCTCAAATGGATAAATGCATCTCTGCAGAAGCTGCCACCCCTTCATGTCCTTCCACAGAAACTGGAATCATTCTAACAGTTGGTACAGTCTTTGATGTGTTGGTTGTGGTGCGGATTGGCAAATGTTATTAACCTGATAATAAATCCAATTTCTGACCGCTTTACAGTGAGAACTCTATGGTGAACATAAACCTCGGAGCCATCTGACCCATCTCTGTTATTTCATACATGAACCTTCTCATGTTTGACCGTTTAGAGGAGAATAGAACTCATTTAAACCATGACTTGACTTGTCTAACCATTGTAACCAGTATCACCATTTAGTGTGAAACATGACTAACCACCAAACGGCTGCCAGAGGCATGGTGGTATTCTGACAGATCGCCATACATATCAGTGCAGCGTATGCAGTTTATGCACTTGCGCACACATCAAAACCTCCACTACAATCAGGGGAGCCGTCAGTCCAGCAGGTAGATGGCAAAGTACGAGGAAATCGATTGTAGATTGTGTTCATAATGTTCTACCATCCACAAAAATCAACTGATGAATGTCAGAGAGTCAGAATCAGAGAGAATTTTATTGCCAGCGCTCCAGCGAACCAGAGCATAGGAACTTGACTCCACAGAACAGCCTGACCAAGGTTACACACACATATAGACAGAACAGATACAGGCAGACCACGAGAGCAGCCATAACGACGCTCATTTCAATAGATGAAGAGGGGATTACATGAGGAGAATTAGGGGAGGGGAAAAAAGGCAGAGCAGAGTTACACCCGGCAGGGAGTAGCTCTACTATGCAAAAAAAACACCTCAACATGTAAGCATGAACGTCACAGTTCACGACATGAGACCCGGTGGTGGTGGGGCTGGGATCCTGGTTTACTTTATCACCTTCTAATTCTAAACTTTATTTCAAATTAACAAATAAGGGTGTCTCATGTGGTTGTTTAAAAACGTGTATGATGATCTGACTGGTAAACTGGCCCATCAAAGTGTCATACAGCATGGAAAATGCATGATCGGTGTCTGAAAGACTTGTGCTTTCAGCATATGCTGTGTATATATATATATACAGATTATATATATATATATATATATATATATATATATATATATATATATATAATCTGTTTTCTAACCAAAGAGCAGTAGCTAAAGCGAGGTAAAGACTCAGAGCCTGAAGCATACAGCAGATAATGCTGCAGATGTAATCACAGAAGGGGAAGCCACAGGGCTTCCTGTGGATAATGTCTGCTGCTATCTGAGTCATTTAGTAAAAATCATTCAGACAGAAGCGGGAGAAAAGATGCTGGCATCACATATGTGTGTTTAAATGATGTTTAGGTGAAAGCAGGTTCACTTCTGAGATCCTGGTGCAGCACCTTAGCATCAAGACAATGCAGGACAACCAGCCATTACAGCTGCATTATGATAAATGTGTTGGTGTCCTGGAACCCAGTGTGGGGCGGCTGAATTTTGTCATTGATGTGTGATTTATGTCTGACATTATGCTAAATGCAACAAATCACCGGTGCTGGGGGGCTAGGTCAGCAGATTATAGGATCAACAGGATGTCAAGATGGTGTTCACCCTTTTCTGGATGGATGGAGGTCTTGCTATGTGCTGGCATGATGCTCATTGTAGAGAAACAAAATAAAAGGAAACCATTTTTTTCCCAATTTCTCTAAATTTCCACAATGCAACTGTGAAAAATAAAACCACTGGTAAAACAAAGCAAACAAAAACTAAACTGTGTTATCTTGAGAGGGATACCTGGGGTCTGTTCCAGAAAGTGAGCTAATCCCAAAACCAGGCTTTCTTTTGAAAATCCTGGTTTAACTGCCCCAAAGTTCCGAACGTGGCTAGCCTGAAACCCCACCCAGTCACCATGATAACAGATGCAGATTGGACTTGTATTAAGGACATTTTCACAGTTGGATCAGCCTGTAGTGTGTTTTTACACTTTAAGTTTGAATGGGACTCAAAATCCAGAACTCCCTGGGTTTATAAATGTGATTTCCATTCATATTTATTGTGTGATCCAGTTGTCAGAACATTCATCTGAGAACAAAGCATTTAATAATTATTTTTTTATTTTTGCGTTCCTTTTATTTTGGTTATCTATAATTCTATTGGACGAATAAAATATTAGCCAACTTTTTAATCCAACTCTTTATTTTCACTCAACTATCTAGTTTCTCCTTCATTACTTCAAAAGTAGACTCCTTACTCCTCTTCATGTGGACATGTTTATAAAAACTCAAAATCAAAAAAACATACGGAGTAACTGCACCAATTGGATAGATTAAATTTGAGCATATTTGGATAATACTTTTACTTTGTTAGTAAGGGGGGTCTGTGTCACAACAGCGATGATATGCATAACAGTTGCATTATATATATATATATATATATATATATATATATATATATATATGTGTGTGTGTGTGTGTGTGTGTGTGTGTGTGTGTGTGTGTGTGTGTGTGTGTGTGTGTGTGTGTGTGTGTGTGCATTAAGCTTGATTTAATACTTCAACCTCTACATAAGTCGTTTAACATGAAAATAGCAGAAAATACTTTTTATGGCTTTACTTTACTTACATGAGCTTTTATTCGTTCAGAGGACCCAAGAGCGAACCGGAAAAGGAAGACTCCCCATTACGTTTTGGTCACATGACCGACACGTATCTTGACGTGGAACAGAGCATGTAACCAGGAAGAGGTAGTTTTGTGCTCAACATGTTGGCTGGAGTAAGTAATAAGTATGAACTTTTATCGTTTAAACAAAGATGTGTCAACCAGAGAGAGAAGATCCAGGTCATGTGGTGGAATGAAACTAGTCATCTCCCAGCTTGTGCGGGGTTCTGTTAGCTAAACATAGCTAATGGGATTAGCGTGTTAGCAGCTAAATGTTTACAGGCTTTTAAACGCAAACATGTTTACTAAATAATAAGTCACATTAATGTTATGTTTAGTTTTTGTGTTTCAAATCTGTAAATCACATCTCAATGTCAGCTAAAATCTGTAGTTTTCGTGTGTTGGCTAACTGGGTAATGTTAGCTTATCCGCCCGTTTATTTTGTCATAACAAACAATAAAATAAAAATAAAAACAAGAACCTATGAGGGATTAAAACCCCTCCGTGGTAAGGTGTGTTTTATTAGTTGTGTGTAAAAGTTGAATAAATATATTAACGATATTAACACTAAACAGCTGCTTTAAATCAATACGCCGCACAATGTTGTTTACTCGGTTCTGTTACCTTCCCTCTTTGTTTTGGTAATCACATTTTATCAGAAAAAATTTAAACAACATGAAGATCATCGTGAATTGCAACCAAAAAAGGAATAGGCAGAAGCTGTGCTTATCTTAGCCTACTTCTGCTCCCAGCAGCCAGACCTTTGTGTAATCCTGAGGTCTGGATCTACAATTCTCCAGACTTGATGGAAGAGTAGTTTATGCACCAAGAAGTTTAGGATGATAACGTCCATAAATGTCACTAAGCAAGAAGATATTGAGTCGTCAATCAAAGATGTCTATAACTCTTGGCTTGTGTCCTCGGAAAATACGTTTTAAGTGGAAATGTGTTTAATCGGTACATCACCATATAGAGCTGGTGCGAAAGCTGCTGGAAACTTTCAGAACAACAAACTTTGATGCCTGACTCTCTGCTTGAATGCTGACACATGAGGGCTTTGGTTTGGTGCCTCTGGGATGAAAATGTTTTCCTTATTTGCCCCTTAGGATGAAGATGTCTCTCTGTTCGATGCAGAAGAAGATGCTGGGAGAAAGTCGAAGATGGGTGTTAAGTAAGTTTGCAGAGCAATGATGAGTTTATCTTTCATTGCTTGAATTTAACCCTCCCACTGTTCTAATGGGTGTGACCCCGCAAGGAAAGTTGACCACTGAGCAGGGCCGATGGTTTATCCTTTGGGTCCACGTGGCAGGGATGAGGAGTGAGCACCACCTCACCCCTGCCACGTGGACCTCAAGGGATAAACCGTCAATCCTGCTCAATGGTCAACTTTCCTCGCGGGGTCGCCTATAAAGACAGTGGGAGGGTTAAAGAGCAAGACACCCCCAAATTGACACATTTTTTTGCTGGTAAACTATATAAATGTCTAGCTGTAGACATATGTAGTGAATAATTTGACACTTTAGTGTATCTTAGTTAAAATTTTAACATTCGGCCTAAAACTGTCAGTGTTCCGCCGTCGAGGTAAAAACTCTGCACTGCATTTGAATTAAAATCTGCCATTGCTATTGGCTAAGAGGTACACTATGACGTTAGCAGGTACATTATGATGTCACAATGCTGTTGTGAACTTGTGTATTTGTTAGCAGCACCACCCTCTCACTGCCAGGCAACAGCATTTGTTGCATTTTTCAAACAGGAAGTGGGAGCGGAGTTTGACTCTGGTAGGGGGTGACTTGCTCTTAAATTGTATTTACGCATAAAAATGTGTCTGTTTTTGTCATATTTCATAATAAAGTGACTCGCTGATTTTTAATCAAAGATTGCCTTTGACAGGGTTGACATTTCTAGGATTTTATTAAGGTATTTTCAAGGTTTTGAAAGTGCTAGAAACTAAAAATAATCCTAATTGTCAAATCAAATTCTTACTTTATAGTTTGACTGCTTGAACTTTTTGAGGGCTTCGCTAATCAAAGCCAATTATCTGTAGCTACAGTACGATTACCTCCTTAAAGCTGTTGTATATCTGTTTCCAGGCATCCGGTGGCATCCTTCTTCCACCTCTTCTTCAGAGTCAGCGCCGCTCTCGTCTACCTGCTCTGTGACCTTCTGAGCGGTAGTTTCATCGCCTCCATGGTCACAATAATCCTTCTGCTCTCCTGTGACTTCTGGACAGTCAAGGTTTGCTCCCTTTTCTGTGAAGTAATCTAACAGAGTACTTTCACTACTGATAGTAGCAAATATCACATCTGTACTTTTAACGTCTTGGTGTCTTAGTAATAAATCTGTTCACTTTGTGGAAACCTGAATATATTGAGACCAAAAACAAAGAAGAATTAAATCACAGTGATGATTTGAGCCTGAAACAGTCCAGGGCCCTCATTTATCAAATGTTCGTAGAAACTGTCCTATATTCCTCCCTACGAATAAAATTTAGAATGTGTGTACGAAGAGTCAAAAACCTGATTTATGAACTGTGCGGTGGCACATGAAGGATTGGACTTCATCCCATTTAACAGAATAGTCTCCCAATTTGGAATAGATAAGAATGGCTTTTTAGAATATCACCAAATTAAATCTGTAGTTAAACAAAAATTTAAGCTAAAAAAAGTAGAATTACAAACACCACCTTATACTAGGGATGCACCGATCAGATTTTTTGCTGCCGATCACCGATACCGATCATGTGGATTGGCCAGAACTTTTCTACAACATTATAATGAGTGCTACAAACTACATAATCTGGGAATAAAGGAAATGTAACCTAATCTAAAATGGTCTGATCGGTCTGCTTTGATCTATTTTGAAAACTCCGATCAAAGCCGATAGGGGCGCTATCGGCCGATTGGGATCAAATGCCGATCCATCGGTGCATCCCTATCTCAAACCCCCCAAACTACTGTCTAAAGCAGTTTCCCAACCCTGGTCCTCAGGGACCACTGTCCTACATGTTTTTCATGTCTCTGCTTCAGCACGCCTGATTTACATTGGCTCCTCGGGAGGACATCAAGTGTTGCAGATACTAGTTAATCCCTCATTCATTTCAGTCAGGTGTGTGGCAGCAGGGAAACACTGGTGTTTGAAAAGGCAACATGGAAAACATGCAGGACAGTGGTCCCTGAGGACCAGGGTTGGGAAACACTGGTCTAAAGTATAAGACACTGTCCAAAATAGACGATAGAATAGCAATCCCTATTGAAAAATGGGAGGTGGATCTATCAGTCAGCTTTGACCAGAACTTCTGGTCCCAAACTTGTTTAAAAACTTGTAAATGATCAAACACTCCAATTTACAATTAATTCAGTACACAATTCTACACAGAGTACACTATACAGGTCATCGGATGTTCAGCATGGGGTTTGTGTCGTCTGACACCTGTACACACTGCACAAACAACATTCCTGATAATTACATTCACACCCTGTGGTCCTGTCCACCTGTCCAGGAATTTTGTCGTAGAGTATGTGAAGACCTGTCAGTGTCTGAAATATCATATCCCAACCGTCCCCTCTCTTTGTTTACTGGGAAACCTGGATGATGTCCCGATTGAAACATCTTTGGTTCACGTGGTTCTGACTGCCATATGCATCGCTAAGAAAACTATCCTCATGAATTGGAAAAATAGAGATACCCTTTGCATTAACCAGCATATAAATCTTTTGTTAGATCATATTAAACTTGATACAGCCTCTGCTTCTACTTCAAATCAATCTCTCTGGGCTCCTTTGATCGGTTCCATCACATAGCGATGATGGGGGATCATTGATATTGTCCTGCGGGATGATGGGGTGGAGGGTCTGAGTTTGGAGTATCCGTACGTTCCCCGGAGGTGGGTTCACTGGGGGGTGTCTGGGACTGGGGGTGCGTCTTTTATTGGTTTTAGCACCAATTATGCAAACAAAAAAATTTAAATAAATAAATAAACTTTTTCCACTGACATAATTATTTATTGGGTCAAATAATTTGTGCATGTGTAACACGTGTCGACGACTGAGACCTTCAGTACTGTGGTTCCTTAGGAATATTTCTACGCACAAGTACAAATCGGTAGACATCACATAATGTGTGAAATCGTTTCCATGCACAAAATACACTCAGATCTGTTTGTAAGTACGGTTGATAAATGAGGTCCCTGGACCTCTAACATGTCAATAGGAGAATGCTTCTGTGACTTCAGTGTGTTGAATTCATGTTTATGAACTGAATGATGGTTTCAGAATGTCACTGGGAGGCTGATGGTTGGGCTGCGGTGGTGGAACCAGGTGGACGATGATGGGCGAAGCCGCTGGGTGTTTGAGTCCAGGAAGGTACTTCACGTTTGTGTTTTAGGAGTAAAACACTAACTCCATCTGATACTAGAGCCCTACGCAGGTATAGGTATAAATCCTGCTCCTGCTGATTTTCTGACCATTACTGCTCTTCCCTAGCCTGGCAAGCCAGACTAAATAAATGTATTATTTAGTCTGGCCATGCTCCATTGACGGCTCTCGGTTGTGGGGCGGGTTCTACCGTTGTCTTTCAGTTGATCTCCACATTCCACTGGACAATGAATGTGACGTACTCTTGTTTCACTCTGTTGCATCATCCCACCCACCAGGCATATAGAGTGCCCTGATTGGCCCACAAAGCGGATAAAGCTCTGTGATTTGTTCACTAAGCAGATAGAGCACTATGATTGGCCCACCATTATGGACCAATCACAGCTCTTTATGTGTTTGAAACCCCTCTAGAGAGCTGTGATTGGCTAGCCAGAGTCCTGGTAGGAGCTGCTGAGGTTCCAATGGAGCATGCCTAGACCATTCTTTACAAAGCAAGAATTTGGTCTAGTTCACTAGGCTAGCTGTTCCCATCACTCCCACAGGGGTCCCACTGTATCTGTATCCAGCCCCGCCTCCACCTGCAGACCCATTAATTAATCAAAGAAGACACAATTTGTCATCAAATAAGCTTACATTCACAGTGTTTCATTTCAGGCTTTTCCATATATCAGATTTTCTGTCCAGTTCTTCATTTTTACTATCAACCACAGCTTTATCCTTCATCTGACCAATGGTCTCAGGACGGTGCTCCCACAGCTGCCTCAAAATCGCCCACTTCCACCAGATTTGTGTTCGGTTGGATCTCAGTCCCAATGCAGGGCCCTAATGCTGACATCTTAAACCATGTGATTTTGACAAGTGCATATGTTTCCTGTTAGCAGGCTTCACACAGATATCCTAACGGTGAGAATATCCTGTTTTCTCCAGAGTACTTCGAAGAAGCAAGGATCTGATTCAGAATCTCGAATCTTCTGGCTCGGACTGATAGTCTGTCCTTTCCTCTGGGTCATCTTTTCCTTTAGCGTTCTGTTTTCATTCAAGATTAAATGGATGGTAAGCTGTCTGATGTAATATATATATCCTTGTCCAATAGACCCTTTTACTACCTACGTCATCAAAAGTTGCGCGTGCAGACTGGCAACGAGAGTGAAGGCTTCCTCATTCACACTCGATACTAAAACAGCGTTTTAAACCCTTTGTTTTGAAGTTCTGAGCACATAAAAATGTCGGGTTGTTGCGTGTATGGATGCCAGAATCGCTTCTCTTCAATCAGTGGACTGAAACTTGACAGAATTCCGAAGGGAGCACATCCGTTTCAACAAAATTGGAGGCGTTTTCCCATGTGTTTTTCCCATCCTAACACAAAGCTCAACTTTGAATAAAATTGCTGCTGCGTGGCTGCAGCATGACCCAAGTCTGGAACATCAAAATGACAGAATTAAACAAATGTATGCGCTTTATTTCATGCTTCAAATTAACATTTCATTCTAATTCATCTGTATTTTCCCACTGCATATTAGTATAAACTGTATTTCTCTAAAATTAACACGATTGTACTCTGAGCACGCTAAAAAAAGAAACCTATGCTATACTCACCCTGCCATGCAGGTACAGTTGGCTGTGAAGACGTAGTTCTCTGGTTTGTTTACTATGACCCAAGCCTCGTACGTAGCAGTCTTGCGTCCTTGTCTTTGGCTAGGAAGGACTTCTGCCTTCAAGACGCAAAACTCAGAGTCTATGTCGTGATATTTTACTTTCTGTACGTGGCCACAGACAACATAGTTGTCTGCATCTAACGATTTGTATGCCCGTAGCTTCTCACGTGTGTACTTACTGGGCCTCTCCACTAAAAACGTGTATATATATCGGGCCACTGGATATCTGGCCACGCACCTACATCTTCCACCCATTCCGTAATGCCACAGAAATCCGGGAGTCTGTTGCCATTCGTTAAAGTGAGTTTAATAATATAACATTCAAGATTTGCCGGTGATAACCTCGCAGCGTAGCTTGATAAAGCCTGAAACAACGCTATTCTCTGTTGCCAAGCTGCGCGCGCATTCTCGCTGACGTCATATTGTTTACAAACAGTAAAAGGGTCTGTTGATCTAATGGAAGCTAACGTACAAAAGCTACTAACGATCAAAAGGTTAGAACCACCTTGACCCTCAGAAAAACATTTTGAGGATTGTTTTTATAATGTGGATGTTCTTGAATAAGCAGGAACAGACTGATTTCCCAGCTTTTAAGTGATGACGCTGCTGTATTTGTGCCAGCCTTTGGTGATCATGGGTCTGGTGCTGCAAGGGGCCAACCTGTACGGATACGTCAAATGTAAAGTGGGAGCAAAGACCAGCTTAAGGAACATGGCCACTAATTATTTTGGCAGACAGTTTCTCAAACAGGTGAGCTGATCTTTGAGTGAAACACAGCGAAGAATCTTCTCCTCGTGTGTGTTTATGAAAACTGTTTTATTTTCAGACTCTGTCTAAAGAAGAGGAGTCGTAGAGAGCAGCGCCACACATCTACATGATACCAAGTGGACACAGTTCAACCTCCTCAACATAACAGCTTTTGTTTTTCCTATCTTGTGTTTAATTTAAAGTTTTTTCTTTTCACTTTCTTTGTAAAGGTAGAGGTTTGGCTGCTTTTTTTCAGTAACTGAAACTGATTAATAAATCTGTACTCATACAGGCATGAATCATTCAAATGACTAGTTTGTGCTGGAGCCTCATGAATCTATCTTCAGTTTGTTTTCATTTCCTAGAACTAGTTTATGTAATTGTAAAATGTTAATCAGAGCGTTTGTATGAATACATTTAGCATCCATAACAGTGTATTCAGATTTGTAAATATGTATACAAACTATGACCTCTATAACTTCTTGTCTGCAAATACATTTGTAATTTTTGCGAATGGTGTGTTTTTCTTATTAACCCATCAAAACAATCCTATTAGTCATGTTAAACACACCTGTGACCAGTGTAAATCCAAATGATCTCCCCTGGAGGGAGTCAATTTCCCTCAGCTTGTAATGCTGTAGTTAGCTGGGGTAAGCACTCCACAACTATAGTGTTTATAAAAAAACTTTTATTGTGTTAAGATGAAGGAAAGGCATGTTTGGGTGAGTTTCGTTCTTGCTGACCCCTAAATGTCATTCAGGACTATTCAATTCTGCTTCTGGATTGCTGGTATCCAGCATGTTTTAGTTTGAACTGCTGCAGCACACCTGATTTCAATCAGCAGGTGATTAGCAGGCTTCTGCATAGCCTGATGAACTGCTGCACAGGTGATGCAATCTCTGAATCAAGTGTGTTGGAGCAGAGAAATTACTAAAACATGCTGGATACCGGCCCTCCAGACCCGGAATTGAATATCCCAGCTATAGGTTTTTATTTGGAAATTTTACAGGAGTAGCAAATAAGATAATGTAATGTTATGAATGTAGTTCTCGGTTGTTTTTCTACTCTTCCACTTTCATAATAATATACCAAAAAGAATAAAAACAAACACAATTTAATTGAAATAAATAGGCTAATATTTAGAATCAAAGTGAAGTTCCGTTATTACTCCACTGGAGGTCGACAACTCGTTCACTGTAGTTTCATTAAAACGGTTATACTTTTATTTGCTTACATGGACTCGCTCTAAATGATTTGCTGTTAATAATTAGTGTAAAGACATGTTTCCTAATTCAAGTATCGTGGTTTAAATTCAATTCAGATACCGGAAAAGACCAACACGCCTCACCGGATACTTTCTAAACATGCCTTCAAAATAAACTCAAACATTTATGATGTTTACAAGTAAACAAATTAAACTACAAACAAATTGCGAAACCTTAACACCATTAAACATACTCAAATTTCTAATGTTCAGTTTTACATTTAATAGCTCAAGGCTTTAAAAATATCGGATGAAAGCTAAGTGCTCCCCTGCCGAAACCTTTCTATATAGTGTACCCCGGAGTTTTATCTGATATAAATAGACACAGATATTTAGATCTAGAGTCAATATTTGATGTCAAATGCTCAGTAAAATGCATTTTCCGATCTGATCTCCAAGTGTTGATTTATTCTGAAATGACAGCCGGAAGTTACGGCTGTTGGGGCTGTCCAACCTAGTTTGTGATTGCTACCTTTAGCTTTTAGGAACTGTGGCTTTTGCTAGTTGTTTTTAATGACCTAAACAGGTCTGTAATCGCACATTCCTCCTTGGAGACAGCCCTTTGACGGGAACTAACTTCAGGATGATTCCTACTGAGGACGCGTCCGCCAGGAAGCGGGAGATTGAGGAGAAACTGAAGCAGGTCAGACTCCGATGGACAGGAAGGGGCTTTATTCTGCCCAATTTGGTGCTTAAAACGAACAATAACAGAGTCCAGACACCAGCTGAGAGCAAACTCTGATCGTTCTTAGTGTTTTCAGACTGTTTGTGGTGAGCTGTTGATTTTCTGTGGGATGTTACAGGAGCAGGAGACGCTGTCATTCATCCGAGAGAACCTGGAGAAGAGCGATCAGCTGACCAAAGGCATGGTAAGAAAACAACACAACATCCGGGTCACCTAACAAACACAAACGTTTCAAAAGTTACCAATAAAAAATTATAAGGTCAAAGGTCAGTCTAGGTTTCAAGGGACACGTTTCGTTTAATATACAGTTATTAAAGCGACCAATCAGATAAAATCCCGTTTAAAAATTAAAGCAGAAAACATAAAAAAAGATAAACATTTAAGATTGAAAGTTGAAAATAGTGACTTTACATGTGTCTGAAATGTTTCAATGGATGTTGTTTATTTGAAACTGCTATTTAATCGTAAATTGTTAGTTTTTTGTCTGTTGAAACCTTTTTATTATTTTGTATTTTATTTATCTGAAGCCCACTTTGACTAAACTAAGACAATTGTTTCCGTTCATGTGGGACACTGCTAAGAGTTTATTATATATTATATATAAGTATTTATGGTTGTAATCTAAACTCGATTTCTAATTTTATTATACATGAATCTATGACTTTTTTTTCAATAAAAGCACAAACTATCTGTTAGGTTCCAATGATTTAAAGGGATTTTGTTCTAAACACAAGTTTTCTTTTGTCTGAACCGAACTAGAAGCCCTATATTTATATTCTCAGTGTTTTGAACCTTTTGTTATTTTCTTTCTCATCCTGAAAGGTTTCCATCCTGTCATCGTTTGAGAGCCGCCTAATGCAGCTGGAGAACTCCATCATCCCGGTCCACAAGCAGACAGAGAACCTGCAGCGACTGCAGGACAATGTGGACAAAACTCTTTCCTGCATGGATCACGTCATTAGTTATTACCACGTGGCCAAAGACACTGACAGGATCATTCGAGAGGGGTGAGGACTGTCTCTGGAAACATTAAATGGTTCTGCTACTGGTATTGAGTCATAACGTGTGTGTGCGTGTGCGTGCGTGCGCTTGTTGTGTCTCAGACCTGCAGGCAGACTGGACGAGTATCTCGCTTGTATCGCAAAGATCCAGAAAGCTGTGGAATACTTTCAGGACAACCACCCTGACAGCCCTGAGCTCAACACAGTGGTACGATCTCATCCTGAATCTGTTTGTCCTGCTACTAGGACACATTTGACTGAATCCTCTCATTGGTGCTAAAATAATTTATTCTGGTGGTGGAAAGAAACAGCCGAAAGTCCAAATCAAAAATAGAGTATGACCTTCAGAACTCCTGAGAAACTGTTGATCAAGATAACTTTAAAGGGAACATAACTTTTTTTCTTAAATTATAACAGTTCTTTGGTTGATACCAAATATGTTTATGAAGTTTTTTTGCACCAAATCCCTCTTACGTTAAGTGATTTCAGTAGTTTTATTCTTGACAGTTTTAGTATCTTCCAGAGTGAGCCATTACGTTGCTTTAGGAAAACAAGCTGTAATTGGCCACGCCCACCCATCCCACTCACTCAGGCTGCTATTAGCTGAGAAGCTTCGATATCCAGGAAAGGATCAGAGTAACCCCTACTGCTCAATGGAGGCATCAGCACTGCAGAAGAGCAGCAGAGCGTCACTGCTTCAAATAAAACCCATTCAAATCTATGGGGGTGATTCAAACCAGCCGCGACTCGGCCATTTTCAGATGCATCTCAGAAGTGGCACACCGCACCGCTAAAGATGGGATCGTGTTCTATTTTTGCCGCGAGCCGCTTCCGGGATGCAACAATTAATGTAGTGCTAGACAGGAAATCACACACGATTTCAGTGTAAAACCCCAGTAGTTTTCAAAATAAATGTATATTGCAGCGATGCGACTTCACATTTATGTAGATTACATCAATACAAGCGACCCAACAGCTTATTTACTCCCTGCATCATTCCAGAAGTGCAGCTGTGTGTTTTTTATGGCTTTTGTCCTGGCAGTTGAGAGGAACAACATCATATATGTCAACAAACGTGATTTCCTTCTTTTTGGTTTAATGGCGGACGACATAAACTTGAGGGATTTTGTGATCTCGCGAGTTAAGCAAGGAGGATGGTGGAAGTCTCGAGGGATTTTGTGATTCCGCTGGTTGAGCGAGGAGCACAGCAGAGAAGCTGCTTTGCAGCTGATACTCTCCCGGTATGCTCTGGAGTGCAGCAGTTGTTGCAAGAAAGTCTTTCTGCTGCTGCTCCGTGCCACAGATGCTTCCAGTGTGCAGTAGGGGTAAGCCACTGGTCCTGCAGCAGCAGTTCTCTCTTGCACATGAGGGGTAGTTCTAATCTACTTTCCCTGTTTGTGACATCACAATTGGGGGATTTTTGAAACAGCTTTTTTTAGGCACTTCATTTTTTAAACCAAACGCTGACAGAAAACAGATGGATGGATTTTTCATGTTTAGAGTGTTCATTTACAGTTCAGTTCATTTTTATTTCAAAGATTTCACACATGTATCATTACAAAATATAATTCCATTATTTGTTTGAGAAGGAGTAGGCAGAAGTATTTACTTATTTGTCCCTACCCCCAAGTTTTACCTCTTATTCATTTAATTTTCTTTCAGTCTTAAATTAAACAAACAACATATGAAAAAAATATATAAAAAAACAAAAACAAACAACATATAGAAAACAGAGAATGTGTAAATTTGCAGTTTCACCAGTTATGGAGAAAAAAAGAAAAAAGAAAAAAAAAACACCGAAAAAGAAGCACAACAGCATGACCAGCCACATTACCGTCCTGGGTTAACCCTGTTTTCTTCATTCTTATACTTATTTAAAATTAGGTTTTTATATTTTATTTTAAACTGGTTTGTTTTTACTTTCTTTTATCTCTTCTGTTGGACTGTTCCATAATTTAACTCCTGCAATTGCAATTGACCTAGTTTTTAAAGTTGTTCTAGCACTTTGTATTTTTAAATTCAATTTCCCTCTTAAGTTATACCCACCTTCTCTTTGTTTGAACAATAAACAGATTTCTTTTGGAAGCAATTTATTTCTTACTTTATTTACAATTTAACACCAGCAGTGACTTTCCACTCCCATTATTACCTGTTCAAGTGAAAACATCAATAAAACGACTGAACAAGAACATAGTGACAATATAAATAACAGTAACCATCTATCATTTTAGTCATTTGTAATAATTTACATGAAAACAACTATTAGTATTTAAATTATTTATTTATTTTACATTTAATTGGGTTTTTGGGGCCCATTTCAGGACCACAAACTTGGTGTTTCACGACCCACAGTAAGGTCGCGACCCCGACTTTGAGAACCACCGTTTTACTGTTTGCACAAATTGACTAGGGCAGGGTACAGAGGATGTAATGGTCAGAGCTAAGAGTCGAAGCAAAGCTTAATATTGACAGTAAATAACATAATGGTACCTTTAACTTGTTCATTACGAGATAACAGCTTGGATATTATTTCTGCAGAAAGCTCGTTTTGAGAAGGGTAAAGAGCTGCTGGAGGCCGAATTTCGGAGCCTTCTGAACCGCTACAGTAAACCCGTCCCCCCAATTCTCATCCTGGACGTTATCAGTGTTGATGAAGACATGGAGCTGCAGGAGGAGGTGTTGCTAGAGCACCTGCCTGAGGCTGTCCTCCAGGACATCATCTGCATCGCCAGCTGGCTGGTGGAATATGGACGCAACCAGGGTATGACTAGTTTTAGAGGTGTCTTACGTCTCGCTATTTATGAATATTTGGTCCTAAAACTTTTTGGGTTAAACCTGTGGAGTCCTCATCATTGTTTTGGTTCCATAAGTCCAACAAATTGTCTTCAGTCTCTGGGCAGATTTTACACACCAGCTGTTCCTGAAGGTTGATTTTCTTTTATGGTTCATTAATCACAGCTTCCAGGGTAATCGTCATGCAATAGGAGGTGGTTCAGGTTGTAGTCCATAACCACCGGTAGGTGTGGGCCATGTCGGGACCAAGAGGAGACCATGGTGGAATCATTATTAGCTGAAATAGTTAAAATACAGAAAATACTGTTCCCCTTATAGAAGCCCATTATCTCTGAGCTAAGTGTTGTCAGACTGTGAGGTATTTAGACACTTCTCTCCCGAACCATCTCTTCTTCTCCTGTCTTCAGATTTCATGAACGTCTACTACCAGATCAGGTCCAGTCAGCTGGATCGCTCCATCAAAGGCCTGAAGGACCACTTCCGTAAGAACAGTGCCTCCTCTGGGATCCTCTACTCTCCTGCTGTCCAAACCAAACGGAAGGACACGCCCACCAAAAAGATTCCAAAGAGACCAGGTCAGCAGCAGATTCCTCTGAGCTTTTGTCTTCATGACCTTTACGCCTTTAGCTGGACCCAGCAAACAAGTCCGAACCTGTTAGATGTCAGAATCTGATTTCCATCCAGCCACGGTCCTCTGAGGATTTGTCAGAGACTCCCTGAGCTTCAGAGATCCTGTCCCTGGTTTTAAATATCTTAGGTGTGTTCTTGCTGTGCGTTATTTCTAATTCCATGTTGTCGTTCTTTTTCAAACACAGAACCAGTTTTGTTTACCTGTTTTGTAGCTACGTTTCGCCGACGGCTGCCGGCTTCTTCAGGCTGACGCTGATGGTGGCGCGTCACTTCCTTCTCCGTTTATCTGCGGGCTGCGCTGGACCACGCACGGGACTGCATCGTCGGAGAGGGGAGAGCGGGCAGTAGAGGGCGACAACATCCTCTGCTGCCCGCAGATAAACGGAGAAGGAAGTGACGCGCCACCATCAGCGTCAGCCTGAAGAAGCCGGCAACCTTCCGCGAAACGTAGCTACAAAACAGGTAAACAAAACTGGTTCTGTGTTTGAAAAAGAACGACAACATGGGACCTGGTTTTAAATGTTCTAACCATCCTTCATCCTTTCCTCTTCATAATCCCTGTGTTCCGATGACATCAGTCTACATCCCAGGTAAATGCAAAGCTTCAGTGTGAGCACTGTGCTTCCTGCTGTCCGCCTGACGCCACGCTTCGCCTCCATGTCAGTTCGGTTTTCGCTCAGCTGTGTCTGACAGGTCGTTTTCAGCGTGAAGGCCTTTAGCTTCATGGTGTGGAAAATGTCTCATACCGAAAAGGTGAAGCTGATTAAAAGTAATGAGGCTCGTTGCTGTTCCAGACAAACACCCTGGAGCTCCGGCTCACTTTACGGAGACGGGATCCCTAACCCCCAAATTCCACTACCTCCGCTCCGGTCCGTCCCCGCCTTCCGCAGCCGCTCGCTTCCGAACTCAATTTTTCTTGGTACCCGCTCTACAACGGCTCCGCTCCGGTGCGGAGACCTGAGGTGGGCAAACAAGCGTGCGCAGGATTTTCGAGATCTTGCGATACAGTCCGAGCAATAAACGCGGAAGTTTAGATCCAAACACCCGTTGTGTGGGAGAAGCATCGAAATGAACTGCTTAATCTGCCCATCATTTGTGTTGAGAGATCAGCAGTGTTTGGATCAACAAAGTGTGACTACTTTGACAGTAGAAACTGTATTTATGGCTTACTTTTGTGCATTTAAACTTCAGCCGCCATTGATAGATGTTAAAAGTTGTTAAACCTGTGCATATGAAACAAAAAACGCCTTTTGTTTATCGATTTATTGTGAAAAACGGAAGTTGTGCTTGCTCCTTTTCCTGTTGGGCAGTTGTGATTTCTGTCCATTTAATGCGGAGGTGCTCCGGCGTCCGGCAAAAATAGGATTAATTCTATTTTTGCCGGACGCCGGAACAGAGGGCGGCGCACTGCGCCGCACTGCCGGAGCACGGCCGCAGTAGTGGAATTGCTCTGATTGACTACAACGGGACCGATTTTGCTCCGGCGTTCGTGTCGGAGCGGAGCGGAGGTAGTGGAATTTGGGGGTAAAGGTCTTCTGCTGTGGAGGGTTTCAGTTTGTCTAGATTGGTTGTTGTAGTTTAAATCAGGAACCAGTTCTTGACATGTACTGGTGAAGAGGTTTGTGTGTCAAGGCGGTTCAGAAGCGTTTCTAACTATTGTTTATTCCTAGTCAAGCTGTGATGAAGTCTTGATAAAAAGTACATTGCTTAAACGTAACAGAATGTCAGTTGTTTAGCAGCCTGTTGTTGAATTAACTCACATTTAATGCAAACGTCTCAAAAAACATTTGATTAGCAAAATCCTGAGTGAAAGGAGCAACTTTCCAGACTTACTTCCTGGTGAACCTTCAGCAGATCTGTCTTCTGGCCAAACACTGGTTTTCTTTTCTTCAGTGGAGTCCAACTTTGATTTCTACTTGATTGTCGGCCATATTTAGTTTAACGTTTCTGCTTCTGTTTGTGCTGAAACGGCGACGGGAGAACTGAGTGCAGCCGACCCATCATTAACGTTGATCCTGCGGAGGTCTCTCCGGGTCGTGTTCTGTCTGTAATGTGAAGCAGAACCAGTAACCTAATCATGGTCGATCAGGTTCAGTTTGGTGGTTTCAGAGTCACGTAGATGATTCACTCCTTGCCTGTGATCATCGCCATGGTAACGGATGCTGTAAATGAGCTCCACAGCAGGTCAGGTTCAAGTATGAGGCGAAACAGCAGGAGGACTCTAACTCTTGGATGGGCAGACACATTTCTTAGGCTCTATGTTCTATTATTACTTTATTGTCTGTAGCTCAAGTTTGTTGTTTTTTGAATAGAAATCAGTAAAATCTTGAAACTTCTGCATCGTTGGTCAATTCGTTCTCTCAGGCTTGCTGTCTATCTTTGAACTTTGTCTTCACACATCTCTCTGTTGGACTAAAAGTGTTCTTCTACTCAACGTTTGAGCTGTAGGCGTTTGTGGAACAGAACAGAGGTCTGACTCGAGCAGGTCGGTTCAAACAAAGGTCAAAAGGAGCTGAAATGTTTGAGTCAGCAGTGAAACTCAGTCGTGTTGCTGCTGCGTTTGCTGCATGTGTGGTGATGTGATGCTAACATGCTAACACACAGCTGCCTGTCTGATGTGACTGATTTCTTTTCTCAGTGACAGCTAGGGCTGCTCCATTACAGGAACATCTTAATTAAGAGTATTAAAGATGATGACTCTGCGGGCTGAAAATCACCAGATGGTTTTATGTAAGGCTGAATCGATTTTGGCACGTCCGTTTAACTCGGAGCTCAGGCTGCTCCTCATTCGGCTGCAGCCTGGCCGTGTTTAGATGAGGGATTGTGCTGCATTTAGAGGAAGCCCTTCCATGTTGATGTACGTTCCTGCTGCGTTAAAAAGCTTCTGGTTCTCATAGAGCTGTTCTGTTTGCAACAAACATTTCGTGTGAAATGTTTACTGTTGGTGTCGGACGCTCAGCGCTGACTCAGCAGAATTACAACCAAGGACACCATTTTTTTTGTTTTAATAAGAAGATGAACAGGATTTCTCCTGAGGAGGTCACTGAGCTCCAGTCAAGACTGGCTGAGTTCAAATGATCCCCTGCTCTCTAAATAGTGGATTATATAAACAAGTCTGCGTTTTGACCTCTCCCTGTGAGTTTAGCCCTCTCAAGGAAAGGAAGTTATTAAGTGTCGTTCTTGTAAAAATAAGAGCATGCTTATGAACTTGAAGGTAACAAAATCATTTTTTCTGATGTATTTATTTTGGTTGACATAATTTTTGTGACATTTGGACCTGTAGTTGAAACACTGATTGGATTAACGGCACAGCCCTAGTTAAACCTGCTCACTAACGGAAGTCTTAGTGTACATTAGTCTGTTTTTAAGTGTTTAAGGTGGTTTTGTGTCTCAAACTGTAACAGACTGATGATGATGATGCTGTTTGAACCTGTTCTAACCTGTGCTTTCTTCCATGACCCTGGAGCTGTGTGTCAGCCCTGCTCACCTTTAGTTTGTGTCCTACCTGGTTGTCCTGTTGTGTAGCTACGGTGATGGTAGACTGTCCCCCCCACACACACACCTCTGCTGGCTGCCTTGTGGTGGAGGGATGTGCTGTTTGTCTCATCACTCACTTCCTAGCTCTTTCTCCTTCTTCTTCTGTCCTTCCTGGCGTTTCTTGGCTGTCTGGACCTCACTGCCCCCTCCTCTGGACTCTATCTCTGTTTATGGGACCAGGGACCATTCGCAAGGCTCAGAACCTTCTGAAACAGTACTCACAGCATGGGCTGGATGGGAAAAAGGGGGGCTCTAACCTCACTCCTTTGGAAGGTAAAGCACTTTGGTCTTTTCTTTGCTTTCTGCAGTTTGAATCAGAAAATCCTGTCAGTTGCAGCAGCTTTTAGACTCAGAGGAGTTTCACCATCCAGACCTCTGGACTTCTACTTGGAGTCACATCTGCTTCAAAGGGATATACAGTGGGGCAAAAAAGTATTTAGTCAGCCACCGATTGCGCAAGTTCTCCCACTTAAAATGATGACAGAGGTCAGTAATTTACATCATAGGTACACTTCAACTGTGAGAGACAGAATGTGAACAAAAAATCCATGAATTCACATGGCAGGATTTTTAAAGAATTTATTTGTAAATCAGGGTGGAAATTAAGTATTTGGTCAATAACAAAAATTCAACTCAATACTTTGTAACATAACCTTTGTTGGCAATAACAGAGGTCAAACGATTACTATAGGTCTTTACCAGGTTTGCACACACAGTAGCTGGTATTTTGGCCCATTCCTCCATGCAGATCTTCTCGAGAGCAGTGATGTTTTGGGGCTGTCGCCGAGCAACACGGACTTTCAACTCCCTCCACAGATTTTCTATGGGGTTGAGGTCTGGAGACTGGCTAGGCCACTCCAGGACTTTCAAATGCTTCTTACGGAGCCACTCCTTTGTTGCCCGGGCGGTGCGTTTGGGATCATTGTTGTGTTGGAAGACCCAGCCACGTTTCATCTTCAAAGCTCTCACTGATGGAAGGAGGTTTTGGCTCAGAATCTCACCATACATGGCCCCATTCATTCTGTCCTTAACACGGATCAGTCGTCCTGTCCCCTTAGCAGAAAAACAGTCCCAAAGCATGATGTTCCCACCCCCATGCTTCATAGTAGGTATGGTGTTCTTGGGATGCAACTCATTATTCTTCTTCCTCCAAACACGACGAGTTGAGTTTATACCAAAAAGTTCTACTTTGGTTTCATCTGACCACATGACATTCTCCCAATCCTCTGCTGTATCATCCATGTGCTCTCTGGCAAACTTCAGACAGGCCTGGACATGCACTGGCTTCAGCAGCGGAACACGTCTGGCACTGCAGGATTTGATTCCCTGCCGTTGTAGTGTGTTACTGATGGTGACCTTTGTTACTGTGGTCCCAGCTCTCTGCAGGTCATTCACCAGGTCCCCCCCGTGTGGTTCTGGGATTCTTGCTCACCGTTCTCATGATCATTTTGACCCCACGGGATGAGATCTTGCGTGGAGCCCCAGATCGAGGGAGATTATCAGTGGTCTTGTATGTCTTCCATTTTCTGATATTTGCTCCCACCGTTGATTTTTTCACACCAAGCTGCTTGCCTATTGTAGATTCACTCTTCCCAGTCTGGTGCAGGTCTACAATTCTTTTCCTGGTGTCCTTCGAAAGCTCTTTGGTCTTGGCCATAGTGGAGTTTGGAGTCTGACTGTTTGAGGCTGTGGACAGGTGTCTTTTATACAGATAATGAGTTCAAACAGGTGCCATTAATACAGGTAACGAGTGGAGGACAGAAAAGCTTCTTAAAGAAGACGTTACAGGTCTGTGAGAGCCAGAGATTTTCCTTGTTTGTAGTGACCAAATACTTATTTTCCACCCTGATTTACAAATAAATTCTTTAAAAATCCTGCCTTGTGAATTCGTGGATTTTTTTCACATTCTGTCTCTCACAGTTGAAGTGTACCTATGATGAAAATTACTGACCTCTGTAACTTGCACAATCGGTGGCTGACTAAATACTTTTTTGCCCCACTGTAGGAACATCCTGAAACACGTTCCCACTGATGAAGCTAATCACTTTCCAATTAGAAACATTTTTTATTTAAACAACCATTAAATGATTTTTTTTAGACCCCCAAAGTTTTTAATGCTTTTATTGTTTTCAACTTCTGATTACAATCATTTATAAAGTAAAACTACTTATAATTAAATATATTATTGTCGGTATCTTTTTAGGTGAGATTTTGCATCCAAAAGTTTGTGTCTGGACAGTTTTTATTTCTTTACTCGTTTAAAACATTCACATTTTCAGACCCTTTGTGCAAACAAAGACTTTCACAACAGTACATTTGAGGAGGCGTGTTGGTGCAGGTGGTTTCCTCACTGCAAGGAGGTTCTCCTCATGCGTGCATGGTTGAGTGCGCGTGTTCTCCCGTTTTCTCCCCGAGGTCTGAAACAAACATGTTCAAGTCCTTTTTGATAGAGGCGTCTGCCATATGCATGAGCATGAATTTAAATCTGCTCTTAAGAAGCCATGTTAGAGCTTGGTGAAATGCATTGTAGGAAATAAATCCATGGCTCTGCAGTGGGAACGTGAGTCATGATCAGATTTAAAATGCTGCGATGAATCAGAAGCTGCTGATTTCTCTCCTAGTTAAGCTCTGAATCAGTCGATGCTCCAAACAAATCACTTCAGTTCTTCTCCTCGTCTCCTTGCTGGTGCTTGGTGGTGGTCAGAACAGCTGATCCAGGGTCAGCCCCCTCCCCTTTACCCCTCAGCCTGGTCAGAACCTCTGTGGTTTGACTGGTGTCTGTGCTGTCCCACCCTCACCCAGCAGGTTACGATCACGACCTGCGGGTCAAACACCACACAGAGGCCCTGAACGAGAAGCACGGGGCCGCTGCAGGTGAGTGACAGGAACACAAGGGCAGAGAAGGAAAACAGGAAGTTCTCACTCATTTTCTGCTGGTTCAGTTGTGACCTACGGACACGACGCTTGGGCCAGTTATGGTCCACGTGGTCCTTAGCTGTCCTTGACTTGCATCCTGTTCAGAAACCCTGTCCTAGTTGGATCTAAACCACAGGAGGAATTCTAATGAACTCAGTAATCAACATCAGTAAAATGTCTAGTTTTGTAAATATTCCCTTTAAATCTGAGAGTCATTTATTAAACACTGATAACAGATCTCCAGTTAATCAATAATGATGAAACCTTTGAAGCCCTTCAGAACCACTCGGGTTACAGGAAAGGCTGGATCAGGAATTTTGCTCATTGATGTGAATCAGAGGGTTTTGACTGACTGGAGGCGTCTGTGCTCCAGGGAAGGACGATGTGCTGGACATCGAGATCGACTCGTACATCCACTGTATCAGTGCATTTGTGAAGCTGGCTCAGAGTGAGTACGCCCTCCTGACGGAAATCATCCCAGAGCATCATCAGAAGAAGACCTTTGACTCCCTGATTCAGGTCAGACCATTGAAACAGCGTCTGAGGTCTGGTCACATCTTTATGGTGAAGAGGTCTTAACCAGAGGAGCTAGGCGAGCCTTTAATAATCGTTAAGAGAAAAGACCCTGGACACGTCTTAGTGCTGAAACTATTATTTATTTTATTTATTTAGCCTTTATTTAACCAGGTTGGTCCCATTGAGATACAAGATCTCTTTTGCAAGGGAGACCTGGCCAAGACCGACAGAGCAGCAACATTAATACGTTCACATTGAAATACATTTCCACATAAACTCAATTAAAACGTTAACACACTGATAGTCTGGATTCCAGTGACCTAATTAGAGTCTTAAATCCACTCAAGGAAACCAAATCCTTGATTTTTAGATCTCTCTGTAGAGATTTCCATGTAGATGGAGCAGCGAAGCTAAAAGCCGTCTTTCCCAGCTCTGCGCGAACCTTAGGAACAACAAATTGCAAAAGTTCACTTGAGCAGAGGCTGAGCTGATTCTGCTCTCTTGATAAAAGACATGATAAATAAAAAGGCAGAGTTCTTTCAGATATTTGTGTCACAAAGGCTTTGAAATGTTAGATTTGATGTATTTTATGTCTGTAAAGCAAAATAATATGAACACATTGAACCTGGTCTCATCTGTGTTCAGACATTTGTTTTCTCTTTGCTGTAAACATTTAAAACTGGACTTTATTTGTTATTGCTGACTGTTAGAAGACGTTAGGTCACTTCCTGCCTACAGGATGAGTTTGATGGTGTCTTCTGCTCTCAGGAAGCGTTGAACAACCTGATGCTGGAAGGAGACAACATTGTGCTGGCAGCCCGCCGGGCAATCGAGAGGCGTGACTACTTTGCCATCCTCACCATCTTCCCGGTCCTGAGGCACCTGAAGATGAACAAGTCTGAGTTCGACTCCACGCTGCAGGTCCAAGCCGCACAGCCTCATCGTTTAGATCCTGTAGGAGAATAATCAGTTACATGTGTGTAAAAGTTTATGTGTGATGCTGCATGCAGGGAACAGCAGCGAGCACCAAGAACAAGCTGCCGACGCTCATCACCTCCATGGAGACGATCGGAGCCAAAGCTCTAGAGGAGTTTGCAGACAGCATCAAGGCAGGAGGATCATTGCATAATTCATCATAAATCAATGACTGATAATTCAGTCTTCACCCACTTTGTTGTGTCTGAAACCTACAGAATGATCCGGATAAAGAGTACAACATGCCCAAAGATGGAACCGTCCATGAGCTGACGAGCAACGTAAGTTCAGCCTCTCTGCTGATTACGTGGGTTTAGTTCAGATATAAGCTCAGAGTTCTGTTCGTCGTGTGTTCTGACCCAACACTAACGAGACACTGTTTTGTTCACTTAAAGAGCAAGTCACCCCCAAATCAACTTTTTTTTGCTGATAAACTAAATAAGCGAGTGTCTAATCATGCTGCAGACACGTGTCATCAATAATTTGGCATTTCAGTGCATCTTAGTTAAAATTTAAATATTCTGCCTAAAGCTGGCAGTGTTGTGCCGTTGTCAGGTAAAAACTCTGCACTGTGTTTTAATTTAAATCTGCCACCGCTATTGGCTAAGAGGTATGCTATGATGTAAACTGGTACATTATGATGTCACAATGTCGTTGTGAGCCTGTGTGTGTGTATTTGTTAGCGGCTCCGCCCTCTCGGTCTGCTAGGCAACGACATTTGTTGCATTTTTCAAACATGAAGTGGGAGTGGAGTTAGACTCTGGTAGGGGGTGACTTGCTCTTTAAATCAGTTACTGCAGATAACAGAGTGTTTGCCTACTAGTTGGTGATTTTAAGCCCTCTAGTTAAGAGAAGCAAATGGTTTAGATTTCAGAGTAAAAGACATTTATACCGGTGGAAGTTGGTAACCCATGAAATCTACAGCAAGTCTTGGTTTTTAGGACGTTAGCAATAGCTGATAACCGTATTCTTTCTTTTATTGCCATAAGCACTCACAACTCACCCGTTCCATAAACTCACCAAAGCTCTTTCCAGTCCTTTTCAATTACAGCAATCAATTCCCCTCTGGGATTAATGAAGTATTTTTGAATTGAATTGAATTAATTTATACTCACACACCTGTTCTGAGAGAGATGTAGAAAACTGGAATCTGTTGATGGGTTTTCCATGCAGGCTGAACATGAAAATAGTTAATACACCTGTCTCCTCCATCAGCTTCTGATGGGAAATAGATGGTGAAATGGTTGGATTTGGTAGGACGTTCATGGACTCGCCTATCTTGATGGGGAAGGCCGTTGGTTTAACGTCCATGAAACAGCAGAGAACATCTCGGCTAGTAGAAGCTAACCGTTAGCATTAGGAACTCCACCACACGGCACAGCTCCTTCAGGCTCGAGCTATTTGTGGAGATGCAACATCCACGTTGCAAGTCAGTGGTAGAGTTGCGTAGCTGTTTGAGGCGAGTTGTCTAAATGTCAGGAAATAAGACTCCAGAACCTGCCGTCTGAAGCTCAGCTTTGGGTCACTACAAGGTTGGTGCACCGGTACATTGTTCCACCTGAGAATGACTTACAAGGCATTCATTCCCACTAGAGACCACTGCAAACACGTGCTACACTCCTTTAAAGTCAAAACTAGAATTTGGTTATGAGCAAATGAAATCATACTTATTAGGTGGGAATAAAACCCTAATCTACATTAGCTGGTTAAAAAACTCTAATATAATTGTATGGAACTGTTTCTGCTCCAGCAGCCTTCAGATTTGCTAACATTTTCAGCTCATTCAAATGTTCATTTATCTGTTGTTTTCTGGAGGATTCTGCTGTTTGCTTGGGTCAGCTGGTTTCCTTGGAAACAAGTGGTTAATGAACAACCTGGTTTGACTCTGTTCTCCACAGACAATCCTGTTTCTACAGCAGCTTCTGGACTTTCACGAGACAGCTGGAGCTATGTTGGCCTCACAAGGTACGTGATAAAAGGGAGTAATGTCAGGTCTCACAGTGCTGTTAACCTGTTCATTTACCCTGCAGCTGCAGTCGAAAGGATCGTTTAGGTCATGATGTGTGTTAAAAGACATGACTGTGTGGTTTGTAACAGGAAAAGGTCATCAATGAATCACAGGTCCATTTTAGAAATGGCTGGTATAAATACAATCAAGAGAACCCAAAAGGACTTTAAAATCCTTCATTTGATGGGTCATTATTAAACACGGGTCACTGCTTCCATTATTTTGTTATAACAGCTTTGATTTCCCTTGCTGGCAGTCACAGTAGCCACCTTCTACCTTATCGCCGTTTCCTTATCCAGTGCCGGATCTGGGGTGGAAAGTGGGGACCAATCCGGGGAGTGTTTTCTCCACAGCCAAGCCAACCTCCACTAGCTCGTCCAGTAGGACCCCAAAGCCAGCTCGGGGATATACAGGGTTTGTACGGTCATGAAGAAAATGGAAAGCTCATGGAATTAGAAAATCTAATTTTCAGGTCCTGGAAAACTTTTGGAACTTTACTAAATCTAGGATGACCAAACGTCCTCTTTCCCCCAGACATGTCCACTTTTCACTTTGTCCGGGAAGTCCGGGTGATTTCCTCGTCGTCGTCGTCTTCCTCCGCTCATCCGGGTCCGGGTCGCGGGGGCAGCATCCCAACGAGGGAGCTCCAGACGGTCCTCTCCCCGGCCTTCTCCACCAGCTCCTCCGGCAGGACCCCAAGGCGTTCCCGGACAAGATTGGAGATGTAACCTCTTCAACGTGTCCTGGGTCGACTCGGGGGGCCTCCTGCCGGCAGGACATGCTCGAAACACCTCCCCGGGGAGGCGTCCAGGAGGCATCCTGACCAGATGTCCAAACCACCCTAACTGACTCCTTTCGATCCGGAGGAGCAGCGGTTCCACTCCGAGTCACTCCCGAATGTCAGAGCTCCTCACCCTATCTGTAAGGCTGAGCCCGGCCACCCTACGGAGGAAACTCATTTCGGCCGCTTGTATCCGCGATCTCGTTCTTTCGGTCATTACCCAAAGCTCATGACCATAGGTGAGGATTGGGACGTAGACCGACCGGTAAATCGAGAGCCTGGCTTTCTGGCTCAGCTCCCTCTTCACCACGACAGATCGGCTCAGCGTCCGCATCGCTGCAGACGCCGAACCAATCCGCCTGTCGATCTCCCGATCTCTCCTACCCTCACTCTTGAACAAGATTTCCTGTTTTGATGAAAATGTCACACACAGGGTTCACAGGTGGATGAGCTCATGGAACCAGTTCAGACTGGGCCTGGCCAGGCCCGATTTAGGCCTCAAGGGCAAAAGCCTTAATTTAAACTCCTCCACCACAGTTAGGTGGAGGTTCAAGAAGATCAGGCAGTTATAGTAGTTATAGAAATACCTCTTCATAACTGGAGGTCCTCTTTGGTTTGGTTTGTGTCTAAAAAGGCTTTTGTCACAGATCATGACTTTTGGGCTGTTATTGCCTAAACCCCACTCAAGATAATCCAGACCCTTTCCCAGTGTCATTCCACAATTTGGGAATGACTAAACAAATGCTACCAGAACAGGGGCCTGTCTATCTTCACAATGCAGACCCAGCTTTTGAAGAGCATCTCTTAGCCTTGCACCTGACCTGCACTCCTCTTCTCCTACTCTGCTGCACTCTTTCTGCTTGAACTTTATTGCCAAACTGTCAACTTCTGCAGAGTCTGACGGGTGTTTTTCACTCCAAGTAGTTTATTGTTTGCCTCAATCGTAACTACATCGTTACATCCTCATTTGAAAGTCACTTTGTACCAAAACACAAATACCTGAACAATAAATGAGATATGATGAGAGGTCAGTTATTAATTAATAAATCTGAGCCTTTAACCCTTTAATACCTTATGCACAAAATAATAATCAGATTTGTGAAAGGCTGGACCTTCAGTTCTACGGTTGTATTTTATATAAAAATACAACAATAGAGATATGACTGGGACTTCCCACCTGCTGCACTTAGATTCTCCAGCAGAGGGCAGAAGACATTCTGTTCGATGCCCCTGGTTTTTGAAGTAAGTACCAATCCCATTAACTCATTCACTGCCGGCCGTTTCCTGATCACTAACGGCCTTCGCTGCCAGCGTTTCTCACCCTTTTTACTGTTTTTTTAAGAGTCACAGAACGGTGCGCGCTAGCATGATGTTGACACCAAAACGACCAAAACAAAGAGGAGACTCGCCTCTTACACCAGGAAGAATCCGTGTGTTTCGAGCGTTATCCGTTCTTTCATAATCCGTTGTCAAATTGTGATCGGCAGACGCATTTCCGGTTCGCGCCTCACTTTTTTACAGGAACGGCCCAAAACGATCTCCTAACACATGGATGTGTTGCTTCTTGATCACGTGACGTGTGACGTATGCGGATGAAGATCGGCTTCAGGGCTGAGATTCAATTCAATTCAATTCAAAAATACTTTATTAATCCCAGAGGGAAATTGATTGCTGTAGTAGCTCAGGATAATAATAATAATCAAGTCATCAAAGAGTTGTATATTACAATGGCTGTTGGCAGGAAGGATCTCCAGTAGCGGTCAGTGTTGCAGCGAAACTGAAGAAGCCTCTGACTGAAGACACTCTTCCGTTGTCGGACAGTCTTGTGAAGAGAATGCTCAGGGTTGTCCATAATTTTCTTGATTCTCTGGAGAATCCTTCTTTGCATTATCTCCTCCAGCGGTTCCACAGTCGTCCCCAGAACAGAACCAGCCTTTTTTATTAGGCTGTTGAGCCTTTTCAGGTCCCTGCTTCTGATGCTGCTACCCCAACAGACGATGGCTGAAGAGATTACACTTTCAACAACAGACTTGTAGAAGATCTGCAGCATCTTGCTACAGACATTGAAGGACCTAAGCGTCCTCAAGAAGTGCAGTCTGCTGTGTCCCTTCTTGTAAACGGCTTGGCTGTTCTTTCTCCAGTCCAGTCTGTTGTCCAGGTGAACTCCAAGGTATTTGTATTCCTCAACCACCTCCACTTCTTCTCCCATGATGGAAACAGTGTTTGACTCCACCCTGTTTCTTCTGAAGTCTAAAATCATCTCCTTTGTTTTGTTCACGTTCAAGGTCAGATGGTTGTTTCAACACCATGCCACAAAGCGCTCCACCAGCTCTCTGTACTCAGCTTCCTGTCCATCTCTGATACACCCGACAACTGCAGAGTCATCTGAGTATTTCTGTAGATGACAGGTCTCTGACTTGTACTGGAAGTCTGAGGTGTACAGGGTGAAAAGGAATGGTGAGAGTACAGTCCCCTGTGGTGCTCCAATGTTACTGATCGCCTGGTTTGATGTGCAGTTCTTCAGCCTCACAAACTGTGGTCTGTTTGTCAGGTAGTCTTTAATCCAGGCGATAGTTGAGATGTTTGTTCTCTCAGCGCGGGGGCTCGTTCCGATGCTCAAACAGTAAAAAAATGCAAATGACGACTTTAGTCGTCATTGGCAGTGAATGAGTTAAAGAGGTAGAGCTGTTAGAAGCCTACAATCAAAAGTAGCAGGAATGATACGTTTGGTGTTACGGAGTTAAGCATCACTGGTTATTTTTACTGCTCCTGGCACATTTACACTGCAAATAACCAGATTTTCAATGTCAGAACTTTGTGTATTTCACTGACCTGGCACTGGAAGCCCATCACTTTTCACAAACTGGATCTAAAACAATGTGATCCTGTTTGCGTAGCACCCTGTACCCCAGTAAAACCAGTTCAGCACCCATTTCCTTGCTTGCACTGTCTGCTTCTGCCCCTCTCTGCTCTCCCTGCCTCACAGTTCTGTCAGAAATCAGAAGAAATGTTTCTGCCTGGTTTCTATTTTTAACCCTCGCTCCCTGGCTGATGAGTGTTTGCTTTCTCTGCTCTAACAAATGTCTTTAACCTTTTTGCACTTGTGCCTGTTTCTCTCTCTCTCTCTGCTTTGCCTCGGCTCGATTAGTTCTGGGGGACACTTACAATATCCCTCTAGACCCCCGAGGTAAGGAGACCGTGCGGGCTTGAACCTTTTGCCTTTATGCTAATTCTTCAGACTCCTGTTTGTGATTATTTAGTGCTGACGGTGTAAACAGGTGGTGTGATGTTTTCTGTGTTTTCTTTCAGAGACGAGTTCTGCGAGTAGCTACACCTCTGACTTCAACAAACGCCTCCTCAGCTCCTACATCTGTAAGACCACCTCACCTGTTTGCTGTCAGGTATTTTCTGCTGCAGCCTGATGGATGTTCTTTTGTTTTTCAGGTAAAGTTTTAGGAAACCTGCAGCTGAACCTGCTCAGTAAATCCAAGGTTTATGAGGATTCAGCTCTGAGCGCCATTTTCCTGCACAACAACTACAACTACATCCTGAAGTCGCTGGAGAAGTCAGTGTCTCACTCCCTCCTCTCCTCCGCAGCATGATGAAACCATCTGTGTCCAACCTGTGATCTGATTTTTCTGCTGTTCTTTTGCCTCTGCAGGTCTGAGCTGATCCAGCTGGTCACAGTGACTCAGAAGAGAGCCGAGAATTCATACAGAGAGCTGATTGAGCAGCAGATTGATATGTATCAGCGCAGGTAAACACAGTAGACCTGGTTTCTTGTTTGGACCGCCTGTTTGCTTCGACCTGAAGGTCTTTGTTTCTGCTGCAGCTGGCTGAAAGTGACAGAGAACCTGACGGATCGGAACATGCCCGTTCTTCAGCCTGGTGCCAAGGTCAGAGTTTGTTATTAGTGCAGCTTAACTTTGGTACCAAAGTGTCAGTCTGAACACGTCAGTATGATCTAAATCAGGGGTGTCACACTCAAATTCACACGGGGTCGAAATGAAAATCTGGGACGAAGTCGCGGCCCAAACGTAATATATTTTGAAAAAGTGACGGGAAATTTGCACATTTTCTTTATCACAAATAGGCAATTTGTAATTTGGAAACAAACTTATGTTTGCATTAACACTGAATGTGGAATAACCAAATTACACACGAGCAAGTCAGTTTTAAATAAAAGGCATCAGTGGTATTCATTACTTGTGGTATATTCAGCATTTTTAAAATATATTCAGGATTTATGTTTTTTTTTTTTCATTTTTCTTATTTTTTATTCTCCTTTTGTTCTCCTGTAATAAGTGTCATCGCTGCTGTGACGTCTAGCTTTCCCCACTGAGGAACAATAAAGGGATTTTCTATTCTAGTCATCTATCTGCAGCCTTTCCACTTCCTGTTTACTGTAGGTTAAATCTTTTCTCACGGGCCAACAACAAAATAAAAATATAATTTTATCTTAAATGAAAATGCAACATCTCACTGAAGACCCAAGAGGTCGACAGATAGATTTCTAGTTGTCTTTCTGAGCAGGTCAACATCACAACTTCTACCAAACCATGACTATGTGGTTATTTCGTTTGGTGTTTAATGTTTCGTTTGTTCTTCGTTTACTTTGTTCTATTTTACAGATTTATCTTGTCTTTATTCAGTGTTTATTTCAGGGACATCACTCCTGTGTGTCTCGAGCCCTTCTGTGTGGTGTCCTTGATCCGGTTCACTTCCTGTTCAAATCAGTCACAAGTTCCAGTTTTCTGATTTATGACACAACTAGTTAAACCAACCAAAAGGACCTGGTAAACATGTAGTCAACACCGACAGCACCACGACTCAGCTGGTGAAACTGAACTGGGCCAGCAGTTTGTTCTGTGCAGTCGCAACACATGTTTGCCGTGTGTGTGTGTGTGTTTATCGTGTGTGTGTGTGTGTTTATTGTGTGATGACTGAGACCCAGCTGGTTCTGCTGTTTGGACCTTTTCTCTAAAGAGTTTGTGACGTTCACCTTGAATCTCTGTGGGCTTACCTGAATCTTGTCTTCCTCCAGCTGAAGGACAAAGAGCGACAGGTGATAAAAGACAAATTCAAGGTCAGACATTGAAAGGAAAAGTGAAATTCTGGTCTTAACCTTTAAAAACAGACTATCAGCAGACTTTGTCTCTTTCAGGGTTTTAACGATGGTTTGGAGGAGCTGTGTAAGACCCAGAAAGGCTGGGCCATCCCAGACAAAGACCAGCGACACTTCATCCGACAGGCTCAGAAGAAAGTGGTTTCTGATTCTTACCGAGCTTTCCTCCAGAGGTGAGAGACGCTGATCTGATTTAGTTTAACTAAAGGTCCAAGTCCTAACGGAACCCTGTGATTTGGGTTGTTCTCCTGCAGATGCACCAACATTTCCTTCACCAAGAACCCTGAAAAGTATCACAAGTATCGTCCAGAGGAGGTGGAGGAGATGATCGAGAAGCTGTTCGACACGTCTGCCTGATTCTTTCTGACTCCTGCTTCTGTTTTCTGTAACAACACAAACTCTTATTTATGTAACTTTACATTTCAGTTAATAAACACTAAATCATTCTGACTCCTGCTGCACCTGTTTGATGGAACTTGTTGGAGATAATCTAAGGCGAGAACCTTGATCTGGAGATGTGAGGTGTCTATTGGTGTGTGTGTGTGTGTGTGTGTGTGTGTGTGTGTTCCTATCCTGCAGTATCTGAACTCAAGTCTGTTTGCGACTTCCTTTTCCTAAATGATGATAGAAAAAAGATGCTTTAGAGTTCTTGGATTTTTTTTTTTGTTCCATCTTTCCTCAACATGACATGTAAAGTAACAAAACACTGAGCCATGCTTTAAAAATAAACAAGTGTCAGGATCTTTATTTTTTCTGTCAGAACCTCCTCAGAAGTTCACCCACGCACATTTAGACTACAGCAGGTGTGGACCAAACATCAAACCGGTGCAGGATTTACCTGATGGATTCCTTCTCACACTGATGAGAAAACGTTCGGTAAGATTTTACGTTATTAGATATTGTCTGAAAGCAGGAGAGCATCAAAGGTGAAAGCTGGTTTCAGTTAAAAGAATAACTTGATCTGAAGAAATGATTTTCCTCCGACATCTAGAAACGTGGGTCGTTCTAACCAGAACAAGATGTTGCTTTCTGTCACAATGACAACCAGGCCTCCTCAAAACCTCGTGGCTTGGTAATAAAATGTTGCTCACCGTTCCTGAATGTCTTAAGTTTCAGGTGATTAGAAAGGATTATTTAGCACTTTTCTATTCATGGTGACCACCCAAAGCACATTACACTGCCCTACACACACTCACTCTCTCTCTCACACACACGCGCAGACACGTGGGAGGCTGGGATTGAACCACCTTCCATTAGCTTACAACCACTCTCGCCATAGTTGCCTCCTTTTTAAAGGGCAGTGAAAATGTCCCTCTTATCTGAATAAAACCTTCACCAGCAGGAGCCATTCACCTGTAGGGTTTACTGGTGAAGATGAGTGAGGGAACGGAGGTACTGATGGGATCACCTGGGCCTTGCAGGCTAAAGTTCTGTTTCAGATTCTGGACTTCCTGAGCCCACTTGGTTTCCCTAAATGGAACCTAAAACGAGGAGGCAATAAAAAAAGCAAAATAAATACATTTGGCACATGGTTTTAATTAATTTTGATCAAATCACAAAACAAACTTGTGGTCCAGAAGACAACATCTAAATCTAATGTATGGTCTGACGACCTTTTGCCTTTTAAACCACTTTAAATTGGGTTCATGGAGAAGGAACCAAACAGTTTCATCACCTTCAGGCTTGTTTACACGTGTTACCTGTGCCATAACACAACTGTTTAACCCATAAGTTCCTTTTACTTCTGAAGTTAAACAAGTTAGATCAAATTTTAAAGTCTTCCCACATACATTCACAAAAACTCCAATAAACAACTGATGGACAGAATATAGAAACACATTAATACTCAAGTTAATATTTGCTATTTTCACTTGTTGGGCTTTTGGCAGAAGATTGATACCATCTGCATGAATAAAGCCCATCTCACGGAGCCAATCCCGTTTTTGTTCCTGGTTTCAAAAACTCAAACATCATGACAGACTTCAGCCCAGTGCTGTGACGTCTGAACACACAAGAGGAAATGTGTCTGATTATACAACATTCTGTTAACAAAAATAAATCAGGGGAAACGGTGGACTTTCAGTGTACAAGAAGGACCCAATTTGGGGAATGGAAGTCCTTTTAGGGCAGATTTCCAAGTCACTGCCAACTCTCAGGCTGAACAATCTAAACTCCATCCTTGTGGAGCCTCTTCATCCTGAAAGCATCTGTGAGGGAGTTCTTCAGAAGGGATGGTCATGTACATCTCCAGTTCAGAGCAGATTAATCACCCATCACCAAAGAGGGAAAGATGTGCATGCATACCGGTATTTGCACTTTACATTTCAGGCTTGGGTCCTCTGCCAGTGGTTTTGGAACTGGGGAGTTCTTCAAAGTATCCTAGAACTGTGCTCTTCTGGACAGAGATATCTGAGGTTGTTTCTGGGATCTGTTAAAGCCTCTCCCAGTTAGGGGATCATAGCTCCGATGACCTCTCTCTCTCTCTCTCTC